TGGAAGAAGCATATGCAAAAATTTTTGCATATGCTTCTCCTCCGTCCGATTTGGGGAGGGAAAGAGAGGGTTTTTTTTCAGTGCATGAACATCGAACATGGTCTTAATTGTTTTCGTATCACATTTTTTAATATTGATTCATACATAACAAAACCTGATCTTATATTAGATGAAACATATTCCAGTTATCGTAAGCGTAATATTAATCTGGCTACCGTTGTTCGGGTGTTTGGTACAACCGATGATGGAATATCCACTTGTGTTCATATTCATCAACATTTTCCTCATCTTTCAATTCGTCGTAATGATCTGATCGAATGTTATCATCCCAATGCATCGGAAAAAGATGATACAGCTATCATTGATTTATTTATCAAAGATTTAGAGAATTCATTAAGTCAATTTGTAGATTCTCGATCAAAAGATGAAATACAAATTATCAATGTTGAAACTTTTGATTCGTTTTCATTCTATGGATATCATGAAAAGCCGGAAACATTTTATCGAATTTATTTCACTACCTATTGGATGGCTAATCAAGCGAAAAATTCTCTTGAATCTGGTGTAATTAATAGCTATAAATTTGTTTGTTATGATTTTCTTGAATTTCTTCTTCAATTCTATATCGATCGAAGTATCTATCTGAATACGTTAACATTTAAACAGATTACTTTTCGTAAACATCGATATCCGAATGTCTATGAAGATATTGATCGTATTCGTGATCGACAATTCAATACGGTTTCCAAGATTTTATTCTATAATGATCTAAACATATCAACTACATGTCAATTTGAATGTGATGCATTGGCTGAAGATATTATGATTGTTGAACGTAATCCATTGTTTCCATCAAATGAACTATTCAATCCATCGATGCCAGGTATTATTAGCCTATGGAACCGACAATTTCAACGATCATCAGAAGAAGAATTTCAATCACTGTTGAATGTATTGCAAAGTAGAAATTCAATTCAATATAGTAGTCATCAATTTCAATTGAAAAGACATCATATATTCGATATAAATACAAATATTCCACAATTGGATGGTCATGTTGATTCTGAAGATGATAGCCAATCATTATTATGCCAATTTAATGGTAAACAAATTCATTTGGATCGAACAAAATTTCATAAAGGCATTGTGCTGGCATCACGTTTAAATCCACGATCAAATAATTTTACAAAATCGAAATCGATTGATGATATTTTAAGAAATATTCCATTCACAATCGAACGTTCAGATTTGATCATTTCAAATGTTATGACCAAATGGAAAATGTTCGAATCGATTGAAAGAAAAATCAATACATTCAATCGAACTTTAGATTATCTGGAAAAATTACCATCACGTTTGAAAAATTTTCAGCCATCCAATTCATTGCAATACTTTATTCAATTTGAATCGACAAGTAATCCATTAAAATTACGTTTTAGAAACGATTGCAGTACACCATTAATCGTGTGTAGTCCTCAGGTTCAAAAACGAAGGAATCCATTCGAAAAGAAACCATCCATTCAGAATATTCATTTGGATAATTTTATTGAAGAAAATAATCTGAAAATGATGGCTAGTAGTTTGTGTACAACCACAATAAATTCAAGTTTAATGGATGATTCGAATCAATTTGAAATGACAAAAATAAATGAATCATTTCGATCAAATCATATTGAATGGATTCAATGTTCACATTTGACAATAATGTCTATGGAATTACATGCACGTATACGTTTAAATCTAACACCGGATCCAAATTATGACCCAATACAAATGATTATGTTCACTTTACATCGAGAATTACTTGATGATTCATCATCAGTTAAAAAACCATACATGGTTGTCATAATTGTGAATCCGAATGCTAAAAATATGGAATATAATTTAAAATTAAAAAATCGATTACTTATTATTGATTATGTACCAACTGAAGTGGATTTATTTCTTCATTTTTCACGTTATGTTCAACAATCTGATCCGGATATTATTCTTGGATATGTAGTCGATACTCAATCCTGGGGTTATCTCCTACAACGTGCAATTGTACTTGGTTTTCAAATTGGTCCAATGTTTTCACGAGTAATCAATACAGTTCAATCAAAACATAATTCTGCTGGTGGCTTAAATGAATCACCCGAATTAGTCGGACGTATTGTTCTAAATACATGGCGTCTATTACGACATGAATTGGCTTTACGATCATATACGTTTGAAAATGTTTATCATCATCTATTTCATGTGAAGATACCAAAATTATCTAATCAATTAATAGGACAGCTATGGCAAACTGGATTCATGACCGGAAACAATGAATTATCACGTCATTTAATTCTGGAATATTATCTTCAACGAACTCTTGGTTCAATGCGTATAATGAATCATCTGAATTATATACGTCGTGTTTTTGATCTTTCCTGTGCATTTGGTATGCCATTTTTCGATGTTATTGAACGAGGATCACAATTTCGTGTCGAATCAATGTTGTTACCGTTATGTAGTCAGGCAAATTATCTGCCCATACGTTTTTCTAAACATTTTATTCGTCGTCAACGTGCACCACAATATGTACCGTTAATATATGAACCGGATATTCGAATCCATCTAGAACCTGTTGCTGTACTTGATTTTCAATCACTTTATCCATCGGTAATTATTGCACATAATTATTGTTATAGCACCTGTTTGGGTCGACTACAAAATATAATCAGGTAGGTTTATTCATACATTGAATTAAATTCATTGTGATTTTTTTTTCAATAATAACAGCGGTGATGATACATTTGGATGTTACAAACTTCAAAATCAAAAGCAAATATTTGATAGATTATCGGATGATCAGATTCATATATCAGAAAATGGAATTGTATTTGTTCGAAGAAATGTTCGACAAGGAATATTACCAAAAATGTTGGAAGAAATTCTTAACACACGTATTTTAATTAAACGAGAATTGAAAAATGTTGATCGAAAATTAGCCAATCCTGAATTATCTCGATCAGAACGTAAACGATTAAAAGCGTTACGTAATGAATTAGATAATTCACAATTAGCAATGAAATTAATTTCAAATGTTACCTATGGTTATACATCGGCCAATTTTACTGGTCGTATGCCTTGTATTGAAATAGCCGATTCGATTGTATCGAAAGGAAGGCAAACATTAGAGGAAGTTATAACATTCATCAATCGATGGGGCCAAACAAATGGTTCGAAAGTTAAAGTAATCTATGGTGATACTGATTCGGTATTCATATCATTTCCGGGTCATTCCTTAGCCACAGCATTTGAAATAACAAATTTTTTCCTAACCGAAATTAATCGTCGACAACCTTATCCTATTTGTTTGAAATTGGAAAAAATTTATCAACCTTGTATTATAATGGCAAAAAAACGTTATTGTGGCTATGCATTCGATTCGGCTACAGATCAGGCAAGATTCGATTCGAAAGGTATTGAAACAATTCGTCGTGATGGATGTCCATTAACAGGCAAAATAATGGAACAATGTATTCGCATTTTATTCGATTCAAATGGTAATGTTGAATCATTGAAACCATATATTCAACATCAATTTGATCGAATCCTATGTGGTCGCATTGGTCAATTATCGGATTTTATTTTTGCACGACAATTTGCTGGATTCAATAATTATTGTAATGGTGATGTAATACCGGCTTGCATTATTGCTCGAAAACGAATACAAATTGATCCACGTGATGAACCAAAATTTAAGGAACGTGTCGGTTTTGTTGTTATCGATGATAATGATTCAAATGAAAAACGCAGAGTTGCCGATCTAGTTCGACAACCATTCGATTTATTGGCTGATGATACACTTCGATTAAATGGTGATTATTATATAAAAAGTGCAATCATCGCGCCAATGATTCGAGTATTAGATTCGATATTTCGACAATCACAGAAATGTCTTAACAATTGGTATGAAGAATGTCGAATACGAAATAAACAAAATCGACAAAACATTATTATTGGTCAACAATTAATGCGACAATTACAGCAAAATGATCAAGAATTCAATATATTGATTGATTTTTGGCAAAATCAACAACGATCAAATTTGAAGAACGATTATTCGGAACCATTGATTCGAATAATGAATTCATTTCAAAACGTTCGATTTAAATTGAAACGAATCGAACAAGAATGTTGTGATTGTTTACAATTTGATTGGAAACTTATTTTTCATTCATCAAAACATCCTTGCAAAATGGATAATTGTCGAACATTATATCGTTATCATCAATCTAAACGTGATTTTAATTATCTGTGGTTCCTTCAGCAAGCTTTATTGATCAAATCCAAAATGTCTTGATCTGAATCTAATAAAATAAATTTTTTATTGAAAATTTTTTTTTTTTGTATATAATCATTAAGCATAAGCTCTATATAATTAACCCCCTACACAAAAACAAAATTCAACTTGTTGGACAAGTTTTTTTGCTGTTGTTTTGTTGAACGAATCGAAGTAAAAACCTCCCAATTTTTTTTCCTCGAAAATCCTCCCTCTGAACTTTTTTTTTGGTCGAAACAGATCCTGATTCGATTCCGTAGAATTCGATCACATCACACACACACACCAAAAAAAAAGCACGTAGACACAACGCAACACAACCGTAAATATTTTCATTTTTCATTTCATTCAATTCATTTTCATACCACTACTACTAACTATTCAATAGTATTCTGACGCAACAACAACAACAATATGATCATAATGATGCTATTCATAATTATCAATGAAAAAAAGAAAACGTAAACTAAATACGTATGTATTATGACTATCACCACTACCTTCATCAACATAATAATCAACAACAACAACAACAATTCACCAATATTGGCCATTTCTACTGGCATGAGCTTTCTCTCTCTCTCTCTCTCTCTCTCTCTCTCCCTCTCCTGTTGTTTCCATGTTGGTATCTAATTTTTTTTTCTGATTTCTTTGCTCTTCGAATCAATTCGATCGCCATAATCATCATCATTTTTATCGATCAGAATTTAATTCATTGATTTTTATCAAATTTAGAAAAAAAAGAACAAAAACAAAACATTGAATAAATGAATTGTTTTCAAAACATTTTTTTTCCATCATAATTATTGGTGTGTGTTGGATGATTGTTCGAATCATTATTGATTATTGATATTATAATTGTGTGTGTGTGTGTCTGGTGCCAAAACAGGAATCATTATTATTGATTGCTCAATTATCTTTAGGAATATTCATTTGCTGTCTACGCTGAACAATCTTAATCTATCATTTTTTTTTTTGATTTAAATAAATATGGAAGCCATAGCTAAACATGATTTCAATGCAACAGCCAATGATGAACTTAGTTTTCATCGTGGTGATGTATTAAAAGTTCTTAATAAAGAAGAAGATATTAATTGGTATAAAGCTGAATTAGATTCACGTGAAGGTCTTATTCCAAGTAATTATATTGAAATGAAAAATCATGAGTAAGTTTGTTTTTTGTTTGTTTTTCTTTAATTCGATTGATTTAATTAATTTTTCAAACTTGAATACAAATTATTATTAGCTGGTATTATGGACGTATAACAAGAGCTGAAGCGGAAAAATTATTACATGATAAACATGAAGGCGCCTTTCTCATACGTATCAGTGAATCATCACCAGGCGATTTTTCCTTATCAGTCAAGTATGTAATTAATTTTGTTAATTATTATGTTAATTAATTTGTCATTTTGAAAAAAATAGATGTCCGGATGGTGTACAACATTTTAAGGTTTTACGAGATCAAAATGGAAAATTTTTTCTTTGGGTTGTTAAATTTAATTCATTGAATGAATTAGTTGATTATCATCGTACATCATCTGTTAGCCGTAATCAAGATGTTAAACTTAAGGATATGCGTCCAGAGGTAAACAATTTTTTTTTCGTTTTAAATTTTCTCATAATTTTCTTTTGTTTTTTTCTTCTATAGCTAAAAGTACAAGCGATGTATGATTTTTTCTCACAAGAATCTGGTGAACTAGAATTTCGTCGTGGTGACATAATCAATGTAATCGATCGTAGTGATCAAAATTGGTGGGAAGGTGAAATTGGTGATCGAAAAGGTTTCTTTCCGGCTACATATGTTGCACCTTATTTTGGTCAAGTTGATGGACAATAAAACAAAATCAATCAAATCAAATCAAATGTGAAAAAATTAACGATTCTCAATACTATTATTATTATTATAAAAAAAACATTACAACCAATTTAATTCTGATTCTGAATACATTAATTTATCTTAATTTATATGATGATTATTTTAACACTTTTTTCTCTTTTACTTTCTCTCTCTCTCTCTTATCTCCTGATAATTATTAATGGATTGTGAATAAGAATTGATAGTTGATACGTTCGTGAAATTTGAACGTATTTTGGCATTTGTTTTCTTTTTTTTCTCTTATACAAAAAACTATTCAATGTTTTTTCTTTTCAAACTGATCAAGAATGGTTTGTGTTTTTTTTTTTGCCATAATTAGCATTTATCCTACTAAATCAATCTCGTCATTCTTTACACAAATATTAACACAATGATTTTTTTTAATTTGAAATTTCAAAGAATATATTCTTCCAATTTTTAACCCATTTTAATTGCATTTTTTTCAACAACAAGAATCGATGACTGTCAAAAACATTGTAATTTTAATTTTATTTTTATTTATGAATCCGATATATATAAAAAAGCACACAAACAATCAAAAACATTTACAGATGCTTTTTTTTAATGTTGTTTATTTTTCTCCAATTGAATATCACATATACAATATGATTATGGTGATGATTATGGCTATAAAATGAAATTGATATATGATTATAAATCAGATTTACGATTTTCTATTTGAACACATTCAACTTCGAATACTAATGATGAATCAGGAGGTATTGTTGGTGGTGAACCAGTAGATCCATATGCAAGATCTGATGGTATTACTAATTTTCGTTTTTCACCCACACAAATACCTAACATTCCTTGATCCCAACCGGCAATTACTTGACCTACACCTAATGTAAATTTCAATGGTGTTCCACGTTTATATGAACTATCAAATTCTGCACCAGTTGAATGTAATGTTCCCTATAGTGTGGTATGAGTAATAAAAAATTTATAATTAATTGATTTTTCAATTGATCATTTTACTCACCCGATAATGAATGTGTAATATATCACCTTTTGATGCACGACGTTGACAATCATCAACACGTTTTTTGATACCGATCTGTAATTTGGTTATTTTTTTATTCGAATTATTATCATTACAATAGACAGCTATAAACATGATGGATATAAAAAGAATGAAAAGAATTTGAGAACTCTCAATCGATTTTAGTTTTGTAGACATTATTTTTTTTGTTGGTTGCTTAATTGAAAATTTTTTTTAAAAAATTTAATGGAAAAAATTCAAATCGAATACGTCAGCTCAACCACAAACACAATCGTAATAAGGCGAATGGCGAAACAATCGATTGTTTCGTTTTTTTTTTTGGTTGGTGGAACGATAGTTCCTTTTTATTTTCATTTATAAATTGAAATAAAACATGATAATTTTTTTTGTTTTGTATAATTGGATTGATTATATTTATTTATATTAAAATCATTTTTAAACAATGATGATTATTATCTATACAACAATGGGGTATTATTAATGGGCTTAATGTTGTTTATGATTATCAACATCTTCGTCATCATCATCATCATCATTATCATCATGATGGTGGTGTTGATCGATTGTCTTCAAAAGTTTTTGATCATTAAATGGTCGATTGAATGATCGTTCCAATTCTCGAATACGATAACGGGCAATATTCAATTCTTTCAATGTTTTTCTTCGCCTATGTTCACATTCAACATTATCACATACATACCATTCACGATCACAAATATCCTGATCTTTTTGATTTAATTTTAATGATCTGGCTAAACTCTATAAAATCAATCAATTAATAATGAAATTATGAAAAATATAATAATCATAAATTACTTACAAGGCTAACTAATGCAAAACAATCAGCTTTTTCAGTTTTAGCTAAATAACGGCGACAATATCGGAAATAAAAATGTTCAAGTGCCAATAATATAACGGTCAATAAGATACCACAACCAAGCAAAAGAAATGCACTCATAAATTGATTAATATCCAATGGTTTACTCATATTACGTTTATTTTTCTGTGATTTACATGCACCTTGAAACCAATAACGACGAAGTCGTTCTAAATCACCTTTAATATGAACCAAAAAAAAAAGTTGATCACAAAAACAATCATATAGCAACGTGAAACACACATACCATTTTCACGATATTCAATCATTTTTTTATTAAATTTTTCCAAATATTTTGAATTTTTTGGCATAGCAAAACCATATCCAGTCATTGCATACCAACTACCAACAGTTAATAGGCCACAATCATTATCCTCGCCAACCAGATAATCCAATACGACAGCATCATAAATGAATGCATCTAATTCGCTAATTTTGTACCAAAAAAATGTTTCCAATTTTGAAATATATCAAAACAAAACAACTAACCCTTTTTTAACAGCTGTAACACCATTTTTACTTGATGAACGATTAAATGGTGCCATATAATGATACATTTTTGGTTTATTTAATTTCAATACAGCTTCAGTATTACCAAATGGTATGGTACCAAATTTTAATGGTGGTTCACTTAAATGTGGATTAGCTAATTTTTTATCTTCAATACCGGTAAAATCATGATATTCTTCACGTGTAATCATAAATGCAGCTAAATTAGCAGTATAAATGGCAAGAAATACAACGGCAAATGTAGCCCATGTATTGGCCATAAATCTAAATTGAAAATAGAAAATCCGATTACGATCAAATTGATGAAATACAATCACAGATATTATTACCTAGCTGTATAACCTTTTGGACAATCTACAGGTACGGCAGCTCCAAATAGAATAGCCCAAACCAACCAATAGGTACGGAATAATGAAAATTTATGATCTATTTAAAAAAAAACAACGATAATAATCAGCAAAAAAATCCTAATTAAATACTTACCTTTTGGTGGTCTCATTGCCATATCATAACCGGATGGACTTAACCATTCGAACAGGAAAATAGCAAATGCAGCAATTTGTATGCTAACCAATAATATCATTATCCATGATATTACATCGAATGGTTCTATATTGATCGATCGAAAAGGTTTAATTCATTTGAAAAAAAAGAGAAAATTCAAAATTTTTATTCTTACCTAAAAATGCTTTCGGTGAAATAATACCGGTACGTTTTGCAACAGCAATAGCAATACCAGTTTCTAAAAATGGTACAGTAAAATCAACAAATGCTTGTCGATCAGAATTTATTTTGATAGATGTAACAACCATATCGGCTTTATGATTTAGTAATTCGGCTATTAAACCATTCCATGTTCCATTCTTTTTTTTTTGTTTACATCAATAAAATACGATTATCATTAACTAACAAAATGAACATTACTTACATTCAAAATACCCCATGCACCATCTTCAACACGAACTAATTCATAGGTAAATTTTAAATCATTGGCAAATTTTTGTAATAAATCAATACAGAAACCGGCACAACAACCATTAGATGTTCTATTTTTGATTTTTTTAAGTTTTTTAAAAAAAATCTTCGCGTTTGAAACAAAACAAAAAACTTACCCATTCATATCGGCAGTATTAATAATTGAATATTTACATGGTACTGCACGACTCATACGACATTCTCCGGTTTCATTATCGGGAGGCACAAAATTAACAAATGGTGGTTCCTCTAACCAGCTTACTTTTAGGCTAAATTTTTCCGGTATACCCATCGGTGGTACTGGTGAATTTTCTGGCCATGTAATATCTTTAATTTCAATACCATCTTCAGTCCATGTACCAATTTTATCCCAAATAGCCATATTATTTAAATTCATTATATCTAATTCAACATATTTAAGTGTTCCATCCAAATTAAATTCTACTGATGGTTTACCCGATTTACTTTTGATTGTAACATTACGTAAAGAACTAATGTTGGTGTTTTTGTTTTTTGTTAATTAAAATCAATTATTTAATGAAAAAAGTTTAAAAAAAAAAAACTAAAACTTACTAAAATAAATGTTCACCAGTTTTCCATTTAATATTATCGGTTGAATTACAATTAATGGCACTATTTAAATTCAATACATTACTTTCATTATTAGTATTGACCAATAGTTCTAGTCCATGTCCAAAAATAGTTACGGCTGATTCAATTTCTTCCAATAATTTTTCATGTGTTGTATTAAAATGTACACCTGAAAAAGGATGAGAGAATATTAAAAAAAAAATTTTGTTGTAAACAGGAAAAAACAACAACAACAACAACAATTTCGATTAACAAAATTTGAACAAACCTAGAATACCGGTCGGAAATTCACCAGGTGCATAACCGGCTCTTGGCCCTAATACACTTTGTGTTACAATCCACATATAATTTTTTGTTGTCATATTTAAATGATCAGCCGAAGCAAATATATCCTGTGCTTCACGTTTAGTTGAATATAATAATATAACTCTTGCTTCACTAAATGAAAGTGGACGTAATTCTTCAATAATTTCTTCACGATTTGTTTTTTGTACAGTAATTATATCCAATATTGTAAAACTAAAATCATTTATTGATAATATTTGATCACGTAATGCACGAATAAAATGATCATAACCACCAATTTTACTTGTTATAATTGAAAATGTATGCCATGAATAACGACGTAATATACTTAACATAGCTGATGCTTGATGTTCCATTGATGGTGCTAATTGTAATATTCTTGAATGTACACTTTGTTGCTTTTTTTAATTAATTAATTAATTAATTAATGAAGAAAAATGTTGATTAATAAATAATTTAAAAAAGATTGATGTAACTACCTGATCCAGGCCAATATTATCAGCATTCCATGCAATAACCGGTATACCAAGATAACTTGTTAATTGTAATAGATATTGTGCTGAACCAGCATTACTACCCCATATTTCTGAATTTGTCATATATAATATTGTTGATACATTTTTAACTAATAATTGATTACAAATACTATTTAAAATTTCAGTTGGATTTGGATCCAATGATAATGGTACAACTTGAGCCTGTGTTATTTGATAATAATTTGTAAAATTATATTTTTCATTTATTTGATGATGTTCAATTTTTTTCTCATGACGATTACGACTTTTCATTAATGATTCTACGGAATCTTGAAGGCGCTGGAAAAAAACAGAATATAAAACACAGAATATTTTAAATTTAAATTTCGATTTTTTTTTTTGAAAATTATAAATTCTGTTTTACCTTATAATATTGTCGTTGTAATGTAATCAATGATGTTTTCGGTAGTATAGCACCAAATGTTATTTTCTGTGCATTCGATGAACGATGATAAAGATTTTGATTTATTGATCCATCAATATTTGTTATAAAAATGATGAATATTATTGAAAAATTTATCATCATCATCATGGTGATCATGATTATTGTTATTGCTTTGATTGGTCAAAAAACGTATGAAAAAAGAGATAAAAATCGTTGAAAAAAATTCAAATTCTCTTTTCAATCATGATGCTGATTATTGCTTTTTCATTGTTACAAAAAACATCAAACATCAGTGACATTGATGTTTTCTTTGTATACGTGAAAACAAACATTATATAAAATGTCCTGCATTCACACATCACACAAACATCAACACCAAAAAAACATTTACTTAACTGTAAATTATTCTTGTATATTCTTCTATGGCCTTTATAGCTACCATAAAAATGAGTGAATCTTTGGGAAAGGGGGGGAATGAAATTCGCATTTTTATTATTGTTGTTGTTATCATTTTGGATGTATGTATGTTTTGGGAACTTGATAATGCCCACCTCGAACTGATAAATGATAATCACATGCGCGAATATTTTTTTTTTCTTTCCCGAACATCTTTTTTTTTCTTGGAAAATAATATAGGGATGTGATATTTGATTTTGACCGTTTTCAAATTGATGAATATTATTCTTCTTCTGACGAGTCGAATCCAAATTCGGGAAAATAAAATGTTTTTTTTTTTGCCGAAATAATACCCGAACATTTTCAATCATTTTCGAACCCAAAATGACATAATTTTGCGCGCTTTTAAATGGAATTTTTTTTTTCATTTTTTTTTGTTGCTTTATGGTGTAGCTTGTGCCATCTATCGAATAATGATATCGATTCATTGAGACTCATTCTTTGTTCCAACAGCTGATCCATTATTGAATTATTATTATGCAAATTATAAATCGTTTATTCGTCATTCCATTATCATTAAAAATTGGTTTAAATTTAGCATTAATCACACAACAACAATCACATCGAACAATGGCTAGTTTTCAATCAACTAAAGGTAAATGAATCTTTTTCTTTTATAAATAAATCTTGAGTTTGTTTTGTTGAACTGTTTTTATGATGAGAAAAAATCAATGTAATAATCAATTGAATCATGAATTGATATATGGTTATTTATAGATAAATTTCTTTCCATGGATATAAATGAAAAACGTAAACATTATAAATGTGGTGATAATTATGTACGATTAGATCAGATACCACGATGGTCTGAACAATCAAAACAATATCAAACAAAAGAACAAACAATAAATGTATGCAGTAAATATAAACCAAATGCCGAAATGAATGATCGTTTATCATTGTTTAATGGTGATATAACAACATTGGAAATTGATGCCATTGTTAATGCAGCCAATGAACAATTAGCTGGTGGTGGTGGAGGTTAGTTTTAGTTTTAGTTTGTTTGCATCTTTAGGATTATATCGTTAATAATAATTTAATATTTCACATGATGATAATAAGTTGATGGTTTCATACATCGTGCTGCCGGATATGAGGATTTACAGGCTGAATGTCGTACATTGAATGGTTGTCGTACTGGTGATTGTAAAATGACAGGTGGATATCGTTTACCAGCAAAATGTACGTTCTTTTTTTTCGATAATCCTTCGTATTTCTTTTCTTTTTTCCGGATAATTAAGTCAAGCAACATTTTTTTTTTGTTTTTTGTTACATCTTTTTTGATTAGATATAATACATTGTGTTGGCCCAATTGGAGAAAAGCCCGACCTGTTGGCTAGTTGTTATCAACGAGCATTAGATTCATTACGAGATAATCAACTACGTTCGATTGCATTTCCATGCATATCGACTGGAATATTTGGTTATCCAAATGAAAATGCAGCTCATATTGCATTGAATACCATACGACATTGGTTTGAAAATTCAACAACAAATATTCAATCAATTGATCGAATAATTTTCTGTTTATTTCTTGACAAAGATATTGAAATTTATAATCGTTTAATACGAGAATATTTTCCACCAACTCAATGAATTTTTTTGTTAATTATCATTGATAAATGATTTTTTTGCTCGTTTTGATTTTATTAAAAAAATTTTTCATTCGAATCAGTCATGCGTCGTAACCATTTTTGAGGTTGTTGATCAACAACAACAACAACAGGAAAATCGAATCTTTTTTTTACGGATTATGATGATGTTAAGCAGCTTGTTGCTGTTTAGCCGCATCTTTTCGTTTCTGCAAACATCATCAATATTTTTTTTTGATATATTTTCAATGTTTATGTTTAATAAATTTTCAATTCAACTCGATCAAATGATCAATAAAATGTATATGATTTTTTTTAATTAAAAAAAATCTAAAAGTAAGATTTCATTTGGTATTATTGTTTCCAAGGATTCGAATCCTTGTCATCAATTTTTTTCTAGATGATAATGATGATCATTTTGTTTTATTTTTTGTACATTCCAAAATGACAATACTTGATCAATTGATTTGATTGAATGATGTCGCACTTTATGACATCATCATCATCATTTGGATTGATACTTTATATAAATTTGATAGGGATTTCTTTCAATTTTCCACTTATCGATTGATAAATTTTTTAAAAAATTAAGAAAATTTTTTTATTATTATCAATGTTTTGTTTTGTTTTTTCCTGATTCATTTTCAGATATTATTTGATTGATACGAAAACGACTACTGATTGATTGAATTCAACTAATACATAGCTCAACGGAGAAAAATTCTTTTTTGTTTGGTGTCAAAAATGGATCGTGATCTAATCAACGTATTAGTATTGGGTGTTTCGTTTATGTTTTTATTCACATCATTTCAAACGAATGGTTTTATTCAGGTATTTTTTTTTTGGATTTCTATTCAAGGCGTTTGTTTTTAATTTTTGTTTGTTTGTTTTGTTTTAAAAGGGTCCAATGATCGATAGTATCAATCATGAATATGGCAAAGATCATTATGGTGCAAATACATTTGTCAGTATGTGTCTTATTTATCTTATTTTTAGTCTTGTCAATTGGATTGCACCAGCATTCGTTAGATTGATGGGTGCTCGTTTATCGATGATTGTTTCAGGCGTTACCTATATGTAAGTTATTAATTGATTTGCTTGAATTTTTTCAAATGATATTTAATGATTATTTTCAGATTATTTATAGCCAATTTTTTATGGCCACAAGCATGGCTTCTTTATATTGTTTCAATGATTGTTGGTTTTGGTGCTGCAATCATATGGACAGCACAAGGATATTATCTAACAATATGTTCTAATGAAAAAACAATGGGTCGTAATAGTGGTCTATTTTGGACATTATTTCAATGTAGTCTTCTATTTGGAAATATATTTGTTTATGTTTATTTTAAAGATATGACCGGTGAAGATATACCACATTCAACAAGAACAATCACATATATTGTATTAACGATTGTTGGTACGATCGGTATTGTAACAATGTTTTTTCTTGGTTCACCAAAATCATTACGATCCGAAGAACAAGATGATCAACAAGGTTCATTTGATGTTCTTCAATCAATAAGTTAGTTTAATAATCACGGATTAATTCCTAATCTAACAATTTTTTTAAATAGGAGAATCATTTGCATTGTTAAGTACACGACGAATGCTTTTGTTATGTGTTACATTTTGGTACACTGGTATTGAACTTAGTTTTTTCAGTGGTGTATTTACTACTGCATTAGGACGTATCAATACACTGGATAAAGATGGTGGTAATGCGAAAAAATTTGTCGGTCTTGCTGGTATGATTATCGGTATTGGTGAAATTGTTGGTGGTCTTATATTCGGTATTCTTGGTTCAAAAACTGTTCGTTGGGGACGTGATCCAATCATTATATTGGGATATTTTGTACATATGATCTCTTTCCTATTGATTATGATTAATTTTCCACCGGATTCAACTATATCTGAAACGGTTAAACAATCTGCTTATATTGATCCAAAGTATGTTTGAGTTGTAATTTTATGTTTTCATTGATCCTAATATTTTAAATTATTATCTATTTATTTATTTAGCCTTGTGATTGCCTTGATATCCGGATTTTTATTAGGTTTTGCTGATTCATGTTTCTGTACACAATGTATGTCAATATTAGGAACATTATATGCCGATAATAGTGCACCAGCATTTGCATTATTTAAATTTTTTCAATCAATCGCATGTGCCTGTGCATTCTTCTATACACCTTATTTTAATCTTTATATACAATTAGCTATATTGGCTATATTTGCATCGATGGGAACATTATCATTTGTCATTGTTGAATGGAAACTTCGTCAACAAAATGATCAACAACATATCAATTAAAATAAAATAATAATCTTACCTATCAATGCTAATCATTTTGTCATTTCATATATCATATACATAAAAATTCATTCCATATTTTTTTCTAATTACAATCAATTGATTTGATGAATTTTTTTTTTTTTTTTTCTTCCATTTTCGTTTTTGAAAAAAAAAAAATTTTTTTTNTTTATATACAATTAGCTATATTGGCTATATTTGCATCGATGGGAACATTATCATTTGTCATTGTTGAATGGAAACTTCGTCAACAAAATGATCAACAACATATCAATTAATAATAATCTTACCTATCAATGCTAATCATTTTATCATTTCATATATCATATACATAAAAAATTCATTCCATTTTTTTTTTCTAATTACAATCAATTGATTTGATGAATTTTTTTTTTTTTTTTTGCTTCCATTTTCGATTTTGAATAAATAAAAATTATTTTCATTTAAAATCAAAAGAAAATTTATTAAACTAGATGGCGTTCTTGTAGTCATTGTTATTATTGTTGATGGAAAAGGACATCCACAAGCTCAAAAAATTTTTTTATTGATTTTTGGATATAATAAAAGTTGGATTTGGAGAAAAAAATAATCATGTATCACAGAGATATTAGTAAACCTTTACAGTTTTTTCGGGCATTATTATTGGGTGTAAGTATTTTTCAATAATTTTTGTTTGACAAAATTATCAATATGATTGATGTTTTAGCGTACATGGAACAGTCAGAATCGATTTCAAGATCAATTGTCACCTAGGTATGTGTTTTATTGTTTGAATATTGTTAATTATTACAATTGTTGATTCATTACTTCATTGATAATAATAATAGGCCATATCCAAAACCAAACTTGAATCAAGGTGTAGCACATAAAGCTTTTGAAAATTATTATGTTAATCGAGATGCAAGACGTTCTGTTTTACCACCTAAAACAATACCATCACCAAAATTGATTGGTGATTCAACAAAACCTAGTCTACCACCAGCACCTGGTCATGTTTATCGTTGGGATTAATCGTATCTTATTGTAATTGTACTTGTAGTTATTATTTGAATGTCATGATTATTAATTAAATAAAATAAACAAAACAAAACAAAATTAATTTCAATTATTTTTCAGTTTCAATATGCCATCTTTTGTCGAATAAACTAAACAAAAAATCTAATTTATTTAAAACAAGATGGCAATAGTGTTATTGTTTTTTTTTCTTGGAATTAAATTACAGACGAGAATTCATGCTTTCCATCTCTCTTTGAACACACACACCACGTACACGTGCATTATTCTGTATTGAAAAAAAAATCTAAATCCAAATCATTCGAAATAGACATGCGTTGAATAACATACGCAATCACAATTTTGGAAAAAAAACAAAATTTTGTTATTTTTTTCATCATTCAATTTTCCTTTTCAATATATATTAGCCGGTATTATTCTAACATGCTCAACAATGTGTATCATCATCATCATCATCAGGCTATATACACACATCCATATTCGATGTTGAACACAAATCTATATGACATACATGTATCACTATAGTCTACTAAACTGTTGCGCTTTTCTCCCTTTTTTTTTGTTTTGGTGAATGTTTGATGAATATGAATCGAATGAATTGATAAAAATGCGAAAAGATTTTTTTCCGTTGTTGTTATCATTTCGAAAAAAAAACAACAACCGAATAATATATTAACCAAATTCTAAGCCAACTACTTCTTTGTTTGTTTGTTTGTTCATTGATATTCTTGATGTTGATGATTATATCTAAAAAACAAAAAAATACACGACATCATATATACGCACATATAATATAATTACACGTTGTTTTTGCTTTTTTTTTGTTGTTGTGTGGTGGTGGTGGTGGTGGTTGGTGTTGTCCTCATATTTATTTTGTGCTGTGTGTGTGTGCTGTGTTTGGTTATATTGGTGGTATATTTATACGAAAAAAAAACAGGCAATCACGTTGTTTTGGATACGGTTAGAAAAAACCGACGGATTATTATTATTATTATTATCACTATCTCAACACTATACAACAAATTTAAATTGATTGTGTGTGTTGATTTTCAAGATTATCCAAAGATTATAATTATAAAAAAAAAGTATAATAAAAAGTATTGTTCTTTTATTGTTGTTGTTGTTGTTGTTGTATAATGAGAATATAAAACATTCATTATTAAACCGGAATCCAAATCAAAAACACCTTTATTCAAATATTTTTTTGTTCACGCTCTGGTTTTCATTCTCTAAAGAAGAAAAACAAACAAACCGAAACATCATTCAAATCTAAAGGACGATAAATTTTTCAACATCAACAAAAAAAAGTGGTAAGTTTGATGTTTTCTAAATTCTTTCTTAAATGTCATATTTAGAATTTAACATTTAAATTTCGAATGTTTTACTCTCTCTGTGTGTTTACCCTCTCTTCGTTTCTGTTTTGTTGTGATTAAGAATTTCAAAATTTTGTCCAAACAAGAAAAAAAACATCAATATGAAAATGAATGATGTAATCATTACGAAATCATTCGAAAAAATTGCCGAGAAAAAACTTACGGTTATTCTTTTCGGTTATTCATTACAAAATTGTCACCTAAACATACTTACATAGATTCGTTGTTTGTGTAATATACTCTTTTTTGTTTCTCTAATCATTATCATGATCATTTAGAAATTAGTCGGTGAAAAAAAAGAGGAAAAAAAAAATTTCTGGCAACAAATGAAACAAAAAACCAGTTTTTTTGCCTCTTTGTTTTTTTTTACATTCTCATCGAATAGAAGAATACATGAAATGCATTCTATTCAATTGCCTCCATCATCTTCATCATCATCATCATTGAATACATTCTACATTCTCCGGTTAAAATGATGATCATCGTCATGATGATGATGGTGGTGGTGGTAATATGTGCCAATAGCACACACACATACATTTTAGATGAGAGAGAGAGAGAAGCCGAAGGGGAAAACGTTCTTTTCGTTTTCGATTTGTTTGCTTGAGAAAAAAAAACCGAATTTTTTTTCTTTTTCTTTTTGGCTAATCCGGCGTGTGTTTGTTGCTGTTTTTTTTTTGTGGAAAAAAAATGTGATGAGCGAGAAAATTGAATTTAAATTTTTCTTTTTTCTCGTTTCCAAATTGTTTAAGAATTTTGGTCGAAAACAAACAAAAAGTTCGAATCATATATGAAATGGGAAAAAAATGTTTGGATTTTTTTGTTGTGTTTTTTTTAATTCTTGTTGTTTTAATTTTTGTTTTTAAACATTAAAATTTATTAAAATTTTCTTTTTGCATTTATAAACAAAATCTCAGGTGAAAAATAAAAAAAAACGAATTCTGATTGATTGATTGATTGATTTCTGAGATAGACAATCGATTGCTTCTACTTTGATGGCCTTAAATGATCGTGCCGTAGTGTTAGCCTGTAGTGTTTCATTATTGGCCATAACATTAGCAACAATTTATTATTGGCAATCTTCATCATTATCAACAAAAAAGAATCGAAAAAATTCAAAATCATCATTAAGAAAAAAATCAAATCAATCTGTTGTTGTTGTTGATGAAGAAAACGAACAATCAAATTGTATCATATCTGATAATAATTACCAAACAACAAAACAAGACCAACACAATCAATCGGAAAATATTGTTGAATTGAAACAAAGTTTTCCATTTGTTTCATTAAATCAAATAGATATTAATCATTTGGATGATAAGATTCCATGTTCATCAACAAAATCAGTTGATATAGGCCATTTGCTTGATAGTGATTGTAAAGATCAAATTCAACAACAACAACCAGAAGCAAACGATAAAATTTCGATAAGAGGTTTGTATTTGATTTATCAAAAATTTAAGTTTTTTAAACATTAATTTTGTTCATCAACATACAGTTGACTCATTCGAAATCAACGACGACGACGAAGAAGAAGAAGAAGATTCAAATTTGAAAATCAACGATAATAGTGATAGTAGTATAAGTTTTTCCTTTACTAGTATCGACGAAGACGAATATATAGAAAAGAAAATGCATCTAAAAAATTATTCATTCAATACTAATAATCATACGAATGATCATGATATTGATATTAAAATCGATCATCCAAATTCATCGAATTTAGCATTCAAAAATTGTTCACCCAAATTGTCATCATCATCATCTTCATCACCCGATAAAGATAAAGAAATTATTGTGATTGATGATGATACCGGTGTATCGGAAATAATCGATGAAATTGATGGTAACCAAAATAATAATGATAATAAAGATGATGACAAGGAAAAAATTGAATCAAAAAATGGTGATGAAACAATCGAACCGAGTCCAAAAATTGATTCTTTTGCTCATGATAATGATGACGACGATGAGAATGTTAATAATAGCTACAGCAAAAATGATATTGATGATAAAATAAATCAACAATCATCAACAATAGTTGATACAGTTAGCGAGCGAAAATCAAATGAAAATAATGATGATAACAATAACGAGGATGAGATTGACAATTTTACTACAAATAACAATGATCAAAATATTGAATCAAATGATAAGATAAATGTCTCAAGTAGTGAAAATAGTGATAATGATTTGGATAAAGTCATTGCCGATGATGATGGTGATGGTGATGTGTGCAATCTTTCTGATAACCATAATGATGATTCTGCTACAAATCACCAATCCAAAGACGACAAAAATGATGATAAACCAACGATGATGATGACGACGACAACAACAACTGTGAACACATCATCGAATTCGATAGAAACAATGACTGCTGTTGAAGAGCCTCCAAAATCAATTAGTGTTCAGAAAAAAGATACAAATTCTTTAGGTCCATCGCAGCAACGACAAACATTTGCTCAAGTCGTATCATCATCAGCAGCAGCAACAAAAAATTGTGATTCAACAACAATGGTAGCCAATAAAAATGATCAACAAAGTGATTTGGAAAAAAATTGTGAATCAAAAATAATTGATGAAAGTGCAAACGTCAAGAATAATGTTGATACAAATTCAAATTCAGCAAAAATTGATGATGAAAATGCTGATCCACAACAGCAATCGATTAAAGATGAAAATGATGACACCGATATTTACCAAAATTATCCGGATCTTACTTTAACACCGAACAGTGATCAACAACAACAGCAACAAGTTACTGATCCTAATAGTAGTAGTAATAGCTATGACGATCAAAGTCAGGTAAAGTTAATAATGAGAATTGTCTTTTTTTGAAATAGATTTCAATTTTACTGTTTTCCTAAAGGAATCAAACGATAGTGGTAAAGGAAGCTGTTTGCTTGAAACAATACCAACATCTACGGCACCTATTAAAATAACAGAAGCTATGGCTGCCGCAGAAAATTCTTGGTATCCATCGACAGCCATCAATAATAATAATATTGCAAATAATTCTCCAATGCCATCGATATTTGATACAATACCAATGGATAATCAACATTGTATACAATATAATTTTCGTATACCATCAAATCTTTGTGGATTCCTAATCGGTCGTAAAGGACGGGTTATAAATCCGATTAAAATGTCAACAAATACCCAAATTGTTATCGAGCCTTATAATGAAACGACAAATCTTTGTACCATTTATGGTAAGAATCCAGTTAAACTATGATCATTTATCTAATTAATAATCATCATTTTTTAAATTAGGCCTTAGACATAATGTTTTTCAAGCATTAAATTTGATTAGAAATCGTCTTCCCGAAGATACTTATCCGAATGTTGATTTTAATCATTTTCCAATCACACCCACAGTTGCATTATCAGCTGCTTGCCAGGTAAATGATTAAAAATAAGATTTTAGTATTTTGAATAATTTGAATAAACTTTGTATGATAAATTCTAGCTATCACTGCCTGTTGGCGTAATGACTGAAGTAATATTATCATGTACAATTAATGCTAGCCATTTTTTTCTACAACAACCAACACATCCATCATATCCGATGTTGAGTATTATGGATCAAGAGATGAAAGAAAATTATTCAAATGTTGATACACCACCCATTCCACAAGTGAAAGAAGGTCTTGTCTGTGCTGCACCTACAGCCGAAGGATGGTATCGTGCATCAGTTAAATTTGTTCATGAATCACGACAAGAATGTGATTTAACTTTTGTTGATTATGGTGGTGAAGCCTTGAATGTACCAGTTGATACATTGCGTGCTATACATTATCATTTTTTGCGTTTACCATTTCAAGCTTCGGAATGTCATTTAGCACATGTGATGCCAATAGATGGTAAGCATTTGAAAAAAAAAGAATTTTTAAAAAATTGTTCACCATCAAATATTTAAACAGCTGAAATAGGTTGGACAGCACAAGCAAATGCATTTTTTGAAGAATTGGCTCAAGGACAGGTGATTCATGCATTTATCGAAAATTTCGATGAAAATGGTATACCATGCATTAATCTTTTTAAAAATGGCGAAAATAAAACGGTAAGTTGTGTGTTTTTCTATATGATTTTTAAAAATATATTAATCTATACATAATTATCAATAGTGGATTAATATTGCCGATGAATTGGTCAATCATGGCCATGCTCAATATATTGTCAATACACCATTGACAACAACAACGGCAACGGTGACAACAAATGATATATCATCATCATCACTATCAACAACATCAATGGAATCACAACCATATTGGTCATCTGGTCGTTAAAATTCTGGTCTCAAACGCACCGCATATATTTGTTATTTAAAATAATTGCTCAACAATTTATTTTCTCATCGAAGCCCCTTATGATTTGTTTATTTTTTATTCTCAAGAACAAAAAACGTCCATGCTGAAATTCTTTTTTTTTCTTCTCTGAATGAATTCTCAAATTTCAATTTGATTCATCGAAAAATCCATCCACCAATACACACATGAGAAGTCATTGAAATTCCATCCAATTCATTCATACTTATCATCATCATCATCATCATCATCATCATCATCTTCATCAAGTTGATGTATAAACAAAAAATAATGAATATGTAAAAAAAAATTCAATTAACTTTTCTTTCCAAACATTATTATAGCAAATTTAGTTGTATTCACAATAATTATTTGTGATTTTTGTAGTTTTATTTCGTTTTCTTTTCACCTTAACACACACGCACACAGACATTTTTTAAAGAAAAAACTATGAGATTAATGTTTTTCATTATCAAACACAAACACCTATACATTTCATATCTGAATTTTTTTTTCCTGATTCATTTTCTTTTTTCTCATTACACAAAAAAAAAATTTGATGATTATTAATTTTTTTTCCTGATCAATCTATATATAAAAATATGAATAAAGTATATTTGAAGATTATAATAATAAAAAAAATATAACAAAAAAAGAAAGATTCAATATCCGATAATAATCAACTATTAGGTGATGATGATTGTTGTTCGTAATTTATTCGGCGTACTTGTTGCTTATTTTCATCCATCATCATCATCATTGTTGTTGTTGATGGCATTGATATTGCTTGTATAATTTCATCATGTAATAATTCTGGATTGGTCAATATATTTGTAGATTTTGATACAAATCGTAATGAATTAAGAACATCTATTTTTTTGGTAGTTATGATATTAGAACAAATAATAAATAAATTCATTAGATAAAAACCTTTTCGTAGAATAACTAAACTACAGCGTTGATCAAGCCAACGAAATAATGTTTTACATAATTCATCAAAATTATTTGTTGCTACTTGTGTACAATATGAATCTAATAATGATTCCATTATTATGCTGAACTGTAAAAAAAGAAACAATTTTAACAAGATGTATATACATAAACTTACAATACTTACTATCCAAAATTTCCAATTTTGATTCGTTTTCTGTTTAACATATTGAACATATTGCTCTTTAAGATGATCTATTCTAGAACCATCAGCAATAGTTAGACCAGTAGTTGGAAGCTGATTCTGTAATACACTGAATAATCCAAAGATAATAATCGATTGAATGATTGATTAAAATCTTAATCTTAATATACCTGATTACATTATTGAGATTATCAATCTTTTGTTTGAGTAATTCATATTCTTTTTGTTGTTCAAATTTTTCATTTTTTAACAATCGAATATAATCGGCTCCTTTATAAAGCATAGCTGCTTTGCTTATTTTTGTATTTGAATTCTGTGCCAATGATGGTAATAGACTTTTTAATGTATCGAAACCATTTTTAATATTACAACGACGTTTTTGTTCAGCATTTATATGACAAACTCTTCGTCGTTCTCTATGTATATTTTGATGTTGGTGTTCATTTCGACCAATAAAATTTACAGGATTTGCCGATAATGAATATGAACCGTATGTTGACATTGGACTCATTATCATTTCATCATCATGAGTTGGACTTAAATTATTATTATCCATATGAAAAAACTTATTCATTGAACCATATAGAATTCGATCTTTGAAACCACTATAATCTAATGGACAAAGAGTTGATGTTGATGAACTTGCTGTTGTATGATTCTTAAGCATTGGATTTTTTATCTTGAAATTATGATTATTATCTACATTTCTATTTGGATTCATACTATATGGCTTTTTGCCATTATTTAGCAATGGAAATTTTTTATTTGGTTGTGAATGTGTTGAATTTGAAAGATCAAATGCTAAGGATGATTGTGGAGGTGATGATGATGATGAAGAGGGAGATAGATGATTCTGAATGAATGTATGTTGTTGTTGTTGTTGTTGATGATGTTTTTGAATGGCGAGATTTGTCGCAGGTATCATTTGAACATCGGTAAATGATGATGAGGTAGCAGCCAGTACTGAAGTATTTAACATTGATGATATTACAGGTCCAGTTTCTTGTTGTTGTTGCAGTGATTTGTTGAATTTTTTATTATGATTCGGTGATAGTTGTGAAGGAAGCTGTAGGCCACTATTCAATGGTAATGATAACGAACGACCAATATTAGCCATTGTATTCGATTGATTATCCATTTGATATGATGATGATGAAGATAATGGTAAAGTTCCATTAGCATCGCTACCAGTTGTAATAGAATTTTGAAGCTGTGATATATCCTTACATGATAATGAAAGAGTTTGATTTTTCACTTTTTTTAGCTCAAGATTTATAATTGGTGATGTTGATGATGTCGATTGTTGTTGTGATGAATTTGGTATTAATTTTTTAATAGGCATTGTTATTTGATTCATTTGTTGATTGTCACCCATAATGGCGGTCGTCGTATTGTCATTCGTATTCGATGGATTAAATGTAAAATTCATTGAATTATAATTAATCGAATCATTTGTTGCCATTTGAATTGATTGACGATTAGATTCTTGTTGTGGCTGTTGTAATAGTTTGTTTGTATGAATTGGAAATGATGATGTTGTTCCAGCATTCGATTGTTGATTCATTGTCGATTGAAATTCCATTTTATACGAAGATTGCAATATTTGTTGTTGAGCTTGTTGTTGTTGATTTAAATTGAAAATTGGTTGTCCATAATTATTATTATGATTATTATTATTATTATACACATTAATCATTGGCTGTTGATTCATTTGTTGATTTGATGAACTGTTTGCAAATTGACAATAGCTATTATTTTGCATAGATTTCATTGACATATCATTGTTGTTGTTGTTATTCGTTGAAGTATTTGTACAGGAATTGAATATTGAATTAAGAAGATCTTGTTCCTATTTTGAAAGAAAATTGTTTAAAAAAACTTTGAATAAATGATTCTGTTTTGTTCACCTCTTTGTATCCTGTTTCTGTTTCTTCGGGAACAGTCGAAAGTGTTGATTGACCACGTAATGAAAAAATATCTTGTAATAATGGTTCAAATGTATCGATAAAATCAATGTTTGGTTGTAATTGTTCTAAACCAGGTTGCATAAAATCGGCACCCATACCAGAACGAGCTAAAATTCATTAAAGATATAAAGTTAATTCGGTTGATTGAAAATCATTTAAAACAGAAAAAAACACATTACCAATTTCACGAGAATTAGCATAATCAAAATAATTTGCATAAGGTAATTGAATATTATCGTTAAAAATTTGCATTGAACCATTTGGATCATTTTGACTAATCATTGCTTGATTATTATTATTGTTGGTCAAATTATTATTATTAACACCTGTATTTATTGTTGATGAACATCCCATTATCGAAGAAGATGATGATGATGAATTAAACGCTGCTGCTGATGATGATGATAATGATGATGATGTAAAAAGTGAATCAAAGCTTAAATTATTACTCCATCTTGGTAGATTATTTTCCCAATCATATGGTGACTATAAATAAAAAAACAATTAATAATTTTTTTAAAAAGAAAAACAAGGAAATAATAACCATTGGTGAACTATTCGAACAATGATTATATTTGGAAAATACTGCAGCTACTGAACGTGAAAGATGTTGATAATAAAGTCTCCATTTATTATATTCAGCTTTAACAACATCAGCACGTCGTTTCCAATATTTTCCTTCCAATAATATAGCTTCCGTTTTCTTATGTCGTTCATTATCGATATTGGATGAAAATTGACATACAACTGGTTTACGACCGGATATATCTTTAAGAAATAGAAAATATTTAGATTTCTTTTGTTGAAAAAAAGAACAACATTAAAATAATAAAATTAATTACATTGAATATGCCAAGCACGCCAAATAATATTATTTAATCGTATCTTATCTTTAATATTCATTTTTAAACCTTTAAATGTTTTCCATTTTGGTGATGTAATATCATCATTATATGCTAATGTCATACATTGAAATAATTTCCATAATGTTTGATCAATAGAAACAATTTTTGTTGTTGTTGTTGTTGATTTTCTTATTCGATATGTTTGTGTTTTTTCTGTTGCTGTTTTTTGTTCCAATGTTTCCATGTTTGGTCGTACATTAACAATATTATTATTATTATTATTATTATTGATAATCGATCCATCATCATTATTATTATTATTATTATCATTCTCAATTTTTGTTTCATTATCATCATTTTCATCAATTTCAGATACCATAAAATGACCACTATGAATACGATTATTTTCTTTTATTGTTTTTGATGATATTAATGATGTTGATGATGTGGATTTAATCATTCGAACAGGATTAACCATAAAATCATTATTGGACATCATCATTGTTGATGTATTAAATTGATTATTCATTTTTAAATCATTAAATATCGATAATGGTGAATATAATGTTGTCGATGACGATGATGATGTTGATGATGATGATGATGGATACATGATGGATGATTTTTAGGAATAAATAATGGTTGGTTGTTGTTGTCGTAGTTTTATGTTATATATGGATGGATGGATGGATGAAAAATGTGCGAAAAAAAACAAACGTTATTCGAAATCCGAATATATCAAGAAAAAATGTATGGAAAAAAAATCATAGCATCATTGATGATATCATTTTGCTATTTTTATTTTTTCTGTCTTCAGTCGACACCATTAAAAAAAATGAAGAGAAACAACGAAAATGTTTACATATAGCAAAAAGTGAATGAAAAACGAAATTGTTTAGCCGGATACAAACGGAATAAACAAATCAAAAAAAGTTTTGGAATCGAAAAAAAAATAACAGGAATTAATGAATTGAACATTAAGTGATCAAATTGATTATTGATTAATTATTGATGTGTGTGTGATAATTAATTAAATGTGATAAAATCATCGATTATAAACAGCCAATCATCAGGAAAAAAATCGACACGTGTATCATTTGAATTATGAATTCGAATTGATTGAATGAAAATGATTCTTGATTTTTTGAAAGAATTCAAGTTTTTTTTTGCTCTTCTCTTTAAAATATCAATCGGTGTTTCAGGTTGTTTGCAAAAAGGCTTTTCCAAATCACTCTTTTTTTCTCTCTCCTTGACAGACACACGTATACTTGTATTTGTTTTGTATTTTTTGTTTTTATTAAAAAAAAAACAAAAATTTGACATTGGAAAATCACATTACCATTCTCACATTATCAAAAATATCAAAATAAAAATTCTTTTGAGGGGATGTTCCAAAAAAATCATATCGATTTAATCGATAGTTTTTGTTACAGACGCAAACATTCGATGATGAAAAATTGTTGTTGATAATCATCGATCAAAGATTAAGATTTATTTTTTTGATAATGGTGATATTTCTCAAGGTAACATCAACAGGTAATCACCAGACATCAGAAATCACTCATACCTTTATGTCATTTCATTTGAATTTTAACTAATTAATTAATTTTTCTTTAAAGAAAATTAAAACGACGACAACAATAATCAAAGATGATGTTTTCCAACTGCTAATTTTGTTGATGTTTTGTTTATTTGTTTTAGTATAATGATACCCAGCAAAACAAAACAAAACAAAATATTTAAAAATATCGAAACATAAAGAGCAAAAGAAACTCAATCAAACTTAATTTTTTTTATCAATTATTATAATGTGAGAAAGGGATAAAAGAATGATGATTGTTGCTGATGTTGATAATGTGATTATTTTTTACCATTACACCATCATCACCATTATCATTATCATATAAATTTTTTCTTTATCATATACTACAACAACAACAACAACGATGATAATAATTAACGATATAGCAGCATCAGCAACAGCAGCCGATAACAACTATAGCAGCGCAAAAATAATATTATTAACGACGACATTTTCTTCTTCTTCTTTTTCCTTTCTTTAAACAAAAACAAAAAAGAATTACAAATTATCAACAAAATATATCGATTAACTAATAAGAAAAATTATAAAAATTTTCTTCTTTTCATTTTTTTCCCATTCGAAATCAGTCGTAAATAGCCAATGATGATGATGATTTCAATTGGAACCGAATGATCAAAACAAAACAAAAAAATTGGTGATTGATTGAAAACGGAATGGTCAAAGTACAATTATTTTTTTTATTTATCTCTTTTAAGATGTTTTTCGTTCCATACATAACGGTATTATTTTATTATCATTTTACTTTTTTATTATTATTATGATTCGATTATATGTGGATTATAAAAAAATGATATTCATCATTTGATGATATATACAAAATTTTTAATTAAAATTTATTATTATTAAAATTTATAAATCAATAACGACATCTATGAACAATAACGGAAATAATTAATTGATTTATTTATTTAAAAAACTGTAATCAAAAATGTTTATAATGGAAATCATTTAGTTTGTTAAAATTATTTGGAAAAATTTGTCCTCATCCAGGAGACATAACTAAACAATGATCGTATCAAAAGTGAGTCTAGTTATGCTAACATCCTGTTGAATAAACGAAAAACATCCGCATTTAATATCCTACTTTTGATATTGAATGCAATTTTTGCAGGCACATTGTTGCCCAAATTTTGCCAAAGATTTTTTTTTTCAATTGATTAGAAAAAATAATGTTGATTCTCGTGACTTTGTCGAATGTTGTTTTCATAAATCTAGCATCATCATGATTATATCAACAAATTGCGATAATTTTTTTTTTGTTGAATGTTTTAATGATTCGAATGTGATTATAATCCTATCTGTAAACAAAAATTTTGATGAAAATTGATTTTTTTGTTTTGTTTCTCAATGCAAAAAAATATTATCGATTGTATCGCGATACAGGACACCATCTCTTGTCACTCACAAGATGTTGTTGTTTGTTTTTTTTTATGAATCGTTTTTTGTTTTGTTTTTAACAACTGCATTAGCATCGTCATTTAGATCTTAAATGTCCAATTAAATGATCTTTAAGACGTAGATTTATCATTTTTAAATTTTATCTTATAAAATAAGCATATGTAGCGTTTGAATCGCTACACATAAATATTCCGTTTTAAAGACATTAAATCAAAATCGACGACAAAATGGACGATGATCTACAAATTCTAACTTTACCATATAATAATGATCTATATGCTATACATCGTAAAACTAATAATATTAAAGTGATAATTCTACTTGTTTTGCATGCTATTCTAGTTGTAAGTTGAACATGAAATTGTATTATTTATTATTGAATTTGTAATTATTGTCCTATTCTTTTTCATAGATCATAAATTGGTTATTAAGCTTTGTATTTCCTTTGGAACAACATAATCTTGTTAATTTAGTATGGCATGAAGAAGAAGAAACAAAAATCAACTTATTAAATTCCTATAATCTAGCTATATATTCACAACTTATTCTTTGGCTACTTAGTTTATTGATAAAACATTATTTAAAAAATCTTTATTATCGAAGATTACGTATACTTGGCTATAATAATCATCATGATAAAGTTAGAAAACATGTATCATTATCAAGTTTTTTTCTACATGTAGCAAATGGCCTTCTTTTGATCAGTACGGTCATATTTAATCATTCCGATCATCTTGAAATATTTGGCATGCATTTAAAACCTATTAATGCAATCGAAATAATTATTTCGGCCGCATCCATTCCGATATTGATCAACATTCATGTACACATTTATCACGAGATTAAATTTCGTCGTAGCCGTAATCCACCGGATGTTTTTTGTGTTGATGATCCATCACGACGTTTGACTTCGGATGGTCTTAATCAAGTGGCTATTAGGTATGTGTTAAAGTTGTTTCTAAAAAACATTTCTGACTTGGAAATTTCTATCCTTTAAATTAGATCGTCATCTTTTCTGGAAGATTTATTAGAAAATCAAGCTGATTTGATTTATAATCTAAAGCTACAGAATTCGCATTTAAGAGAATTACTTTATAAAGCTACGAGTAATCAAAATGGCGACAATCAACCTGAATCTACATCATCGGCAACGACAAATAGGGATGGAAATTAATTATTTTTGATAAACATTGTATTTCATTTTTTTGGTTTAAGAATTAAAAAAATATTTGTAAAATCATTTAAAAATTTTTGCTTTTATAAAAATTCAATTTGCTCGATACAATCGATTATGATCACCATCATTGACAAAAGTCACGTGATCAGCCAGCGTGTCGAAAATGTCATGATTTTTTTAATGGTGTTGAGTGTGCTATTGCAGCAATGGTTTAAAAATTTTGAAATTCCAAAAAATGAAAAACAGCAATCTCAAAAAAGAAATATCACCGAATTGGAAAAAATTATGTGCTCAGAAAATTTCATCACAAAATAAACATAAAGAATGTAATGATAATGTTCTTGGTAAGCGAAAAATAATGAAAACGAAATCCAAACCAACGACTAATGATGGGAAAACAAACGGTATTATCGATACAAAAATTGATAAAATCACCAATGGCAATGATAATGTTCAAAAGATTTTAACCAATTTTGGTTTACAACAAAATCAGGAAAAAATATGGTTTGATGGAGTTGATCCACATTTGATTCGAACAACACAATTACCATCAAATTCAAGTCTTTGTCAGGAAAAATCATCAAAAGAATTGACGAATGCTATAGCCATCGATTGTGAAATGGTCGGTACCGGATATGGTGGTAGTAATTCAGCATTGGCTCGAATTTCAATTGTTAATCTATATGGACATTGTGTTTATGATAAATATGTTAAACCGATCGAAAAGGTTACCGATTATCGTACACAAGTTTCTGGCATACGACCTGAACATCTTGAAAATGCTATCGATTTTAAAACCGTACAACGTGAAGTATGTGAAATGATTGATGGTAGAATTTTAGTTGGCCATGCTATTCATCATGATCTTAGTGTATTATATCTATCACATCCGAAACAAATGATTCGTGATACAAGTGTATATTTTAAACGTTTTTTCAAAGGATGTACACCATCATTAAAACGATTAGCTAATGTTTATTTAAATGTAAAAATACAGGATGGTGAACATGATTCGATTATCGATGCACAGGCAACAATGAGATTATATACATTATTTAAAAAAGAATGGGAATCAATAATCAATTCGAAAGCTAAACGAAAAGAAAGACGAAAAAAGAAAAGAAAAACCAATGAATCGTCAGCAATGCAATTAAATTCATCGAATAATTAATTTTAGTTCTTTTTAATTAAATTCTTTTGTTTTTTAATTTGTGATATTTGAAAAGAAAATATGTTTGAAATAAAATTCTTTTTTTTAACCCGAAATCCATTTTGATTCGATCGAATAAATCGGGTAAAAATAGCGGAAAAAAATAATGGTTTGCCAAGTGAAAAAAAATACACGCTTTTCTGTTGGCGATGACTGTGTGTGTTTGTGTGTGTTTTTTTTTGTTGTATGCCACAGGGCTGATTGTTTATGAATAGAATTCATCCAATTATAACCTACACGTCATTCTGACAGCCAAAAATAAAAAAGAAAAAGTTTTCAATTTGGTTTTTTTGTTTTGTTTTCAATATTTCGATCCGGTCGAAGTTCAATAACAAATAATTGATTTTTCAGAATTTGTTTTTACAAAAAAATCAAAAAAAAAAAAACTAGTGCCTATTCCATTCGAAGTTTTTTTGAATGAATTTTGTTTAGAATAAAATAGCATCATCATCATCATAATGAATATTTTTCGATTAACCGGCGATCTAGCACATTTGGCCGCCATTATAATATTATTATTAAAGATATGGAAAACACGTTCCTGTTCGGGTATGTTTATCGTTAGCAATCAGTTAGAATTGACTAAAAAAATGAAAAATTTAATCTACAGGAATCTCGGGTAAAAGTCAGATTTTATTCACTGTTGTTTACATTACACGTTATCTTGATCTGTTTACCAGTTTTATTTCTGCTTATAATACGTTAATGAAGGTAACAAAAATTTATTTTTCTTAATAAAAAAAAAGAAATTTTAATTTTTTGTTTTAAAAATCATACAGATTATCTTTATTGTTTCATCGTTGGCAACAGTTTATTTGATATATTATAAATTTAAAGCAACATATGATCGAAATCATGATACGTTTCGTATTGAATTTCTAATTATTCCATCCATTATATTAGCATTATTGATACGACATGAATTCACTGTTATGGAGGTAATTATGATTTGTTTTTTTCGCTTGATTATATCATTATGGTATTATTCTTTGAACATTAGGTGTTATGGACATTTTCAATCTATTTGGAAGCTGTTGCCATATTACCGCAATTATTTTTGGTATCAAAAACTGGTGAAGCCGAAACAATTACATCACATTATCTGTTTGCATTAGGCTCATATCGTGGTCTTTATCTATTGAATTGGATTTGGCGTTATTATTTTGAAAATTTTCTTGATTGGATATCGATTGTTGCCGGTTTTGTTCAAACTGTATTGTATTGTGACTTTTTCTATTTATATGTCACACGTGGTAAGTATTTTTTTGGAATGATCACAATTAGTCGAATCCATTCTGACGGTATTTTTTTCTCCCACAGTTTTACATGGTCGTAAACTAAGGCTTCCAGCATAAAGAAATACGAACAAAATCAATAATAACCGCACCAAGATTCAAAACTGATTGAAAAATTCAGCCAAAACCAAGATGAATGATAATATACTAAAGGTGTTATAATATACATAATAAATGTGCGAATAATATTAATTGTGTGGGTGTTGTGAATATTTAAAACAAAACAAAACAAAAAAAGATTCGGTTTTCTGCTCATCGTCATCATCATCATCATTTAAACCAACAACATTATTTCCATCATAAAATTTAAATGATTTTTCAATTTTTATATTAAAAAAAAATATTACTATATAAATTTTATTCAAATTTAAAACAAAGAAAAATTTTTTTCTGATAATTTTTAATTTGATTATTAAAACCAAAATGGCATTGGAATTGAATAAAAAAAAAGTTGTAAAATTTTAAATGAAAAAAACATTGAATCGAGGAAATTTCGTTAAATGACCATGCCTCAAGTATGTTTTATTATTATTTACATTAATTGGATCACATGGAAATCTTTGTGATCTTGTATAAATAGTGAATATATTTTGTTGAATTGTAAATTGAGAATTAAAATGTATAAAAAAGTGTGTAAAAAAGTTAATAGAAAATAAGTCTTGTATTCTTTTAAGATAAGAATTAAGATGATTTAGATAGTTATTTTTTTTCAGTATGTGTTAAAGTCAAATCAAATGTGATAAATTAATTGATCAGTGATTATAATAAGTTATAGATGAAGAATTTATAGCCAACTGTGTAGATACTTATAAATGTAGTCGATACTTCATTTTTTCAATGCCTTTTTTTGTAAATGTACCAATACTTCTTTAGCATATTTTAAACGATTTAATAGTTCGGAATTGACACCATGTTCTTCAAGAAGTGAAAATTTATAGGCTTGAAAATCACCCGTTTCATTTACATAAGTAACGGCAGCCATATGTGGACATAATATTAATTTAATATGATCTTTGAAGTAATTTATCTAGAAACAAATTTGATTAATCATTTTGATATTAAAACTTTTTTTTTCAGATTCAACTTACCTGAACAGTACCGTTGGTCAGATGGAAAACAATGGCACTATTTGTACGGAACCAAATGTTAATATATGGTACTCTTACCATGTCTTCTTTTTCTCCCAATTGTTGTCTTTGTCGTTCACCCATTTTCATTAGATGACAATTCATATAATTTCTAAAATAACGGAATAATGTTGTCTTTTTAACAAGATGATTAGGAGCATAGTCAGAATTATATTTGTAATATTCTTCAACACCATTCTTGTCGATGTAATGGAAATTCGTTTCGTCGGGCATCAATATGAATTTAGTCAAATCATTGAATAATACACCAATACTGTTATCGCATAATTGATAGCCAATACCATAACGATCAGTATAATCAACCCATTTACTAACCCAATAGCATGGAATTGATGCTGGATGTTCAGCTTCATCATCGTTTGATGGTGGTTTTGAACGCAATCGGTTGGAGCTTAATAATTTTGACAATTGTTCACGTAATTCTGATAGATAATAATCAGATGGTTCATTTTCATTCAGTGGTTGTAATGGAACAAGTTCTCTGTTGTTGGCTGGTTGATTATCACCGGCCATCGGAGTCTGACCATTAGTTTCTTTGGCACTTTGCCCATCTTTAGCTTGATTAGCCATCTCGGAGAATGGTCGTCGAAAACCTTCACCGTGAGCAAGTATTGAAAGACGATTTTCATTGATACGTGGTGCAACACTAAGACATGATGTTGGCAAACATGATGGAATATAATTATTGTTCAAATATGGATCATTAAGAATTTGTTGCATTGTTGGACGTTTACTTGGATCAGCTTGAAGCATTTTATGAATAAATGTAGCCAATTCTGGATTTATATCATTCGGTATAGTATAATCATTTTTTTTAATTTTTCGATAAGTGTTTTTTAATTCTTCCGTTTCGAATGGTGGTCTGCCAACAGCCATTGTAAACACAATACAACCTAATGACCATACATCTACTTCGAATCCATGTCCAGCTTCTAATAATATTTCCGGTGCAATATAATTTGGTGTACCGCATAATGTTTTTCTTTGTTCACCTGGATTTAATTTGGTTGCAAGACCAAAATCGCCTAATTTTACCTGCATATCATCATTAAGAAATAGATTTCCTAATTTAAGATCACGATGTACGATACGTGAATTATGTAGATAAACACAAGCCAATGTTATTTGACGAACATAATAACGTAATTCTGCTTCACTAATACGTTTACGTCGTTTTTGCATTTCCATCAATGAACGTTTACCACATAATTCCAATATGATGTATACAAAATTTGAATCTTCAAAAAATGAATAAAATTTGACAATATGTTTATGATCCACACTACGATGTATGGATATTTCTAAACTCATCTTTAGAATCATAAGAAACAAAAGATAGAAAATTTAATTTTTATCAATGAAAAAAAAGTTTATTCACCTTTGTCTTGTGTTTATCTTTGACCAATTGAGTTTTGGAAATAACTTTACAGGCATACATTTTTTTTGTTGATAAATCAGTATATTCATAGCATTTAGCAAAACCACCCTGTATATGTATTAATATTATTATTAAATTGGAAAAAAAAACAACCCGATTAATGACATTAAACAATCAAAATTTGTTATATAAAAAGTGTGTAGGTGGACATCGAAAAATAATAATAAAAATTGCTACATACACGGCCAAGAAATTTGCCTCGTTGATATTGTTTTTTCGTCTGTGGATTTATAATAATATCCGGTATATCAATCTTTGCTGCTGTTTTGTCAGTCATTTTTATTTTTTCGTCGGGAAATTCTATTTTTCCAAAAATTTCAACACCAATAAACGGTTGATGGAAATAAATTTTGAACAATTATTGGGCAACGAGGCAAAAATTTCTAATGAATTAAAAACAAACAAACAAACAAATCAAACATAAAACTTAATTATTCAATGAGATGAAACTAAATTAATAATGATGAAATAAAAACAATTTAATCAAATGATCATTTTAAAAATCACAATTTAAAAGAAATTTGGAAAAATATTTTTTCAATATTTAATGTATTTGAAACACACCAAATGATAAAACACACAAAGAAACTTACAATTTCGTGATGATGTTAAGGCCAAAAGTTAGAGAAAAAAGAAAAGAAAATAAAAATGAATTTTACCGAAGTTTGAACAAACAAACAAACAGCACACACACACATCGAACATACAACGATTTTTTCGTTTGTTTGTTAACGGTCAAATGTTTCGATGGGTGGAGTTATCAAAAACACGATATATCAAGACGACACGCACTTTCAACTGATATTATCATCAAACCAAACCAAACCAACCACACTGATCATCATTCACGATTCATTTGAAAAAAAAACCGATGATTGTTGAACCAATGAAAACGCAGGGTTTTAATATGAACAGGTTTCCACACTCAATTAGTTTTTAAACGCGAAAAGGAAAGAAAATGAAATTCAAAAATCGAAAATCGAATTTTTCGAATTGCGCATGCGATTTTTGTTGTTTGATTTTAATTTTTCGAATGTTAACGACTTTTTATTCGTTGTTGTTGTCGTCGTCGTCGTCGTCGGCTATTGACCATTGAATTGAATGATGTTTGCGTGATGTGTGTGTGGGATCGGTAATTGACAAGAGGTTATTATCATTATTTGAGTTAAATATTCAATTTTTTAATAATATCCGAACATTAACCCTTTTCGTTATTCAATGGAAATAAAGCGATTCTTTTTTTTTGTCACATTGATGATGATGAAATTTTTCAATTGAGAAATGGTTTATAAAGCGCCAAACAAAATCATTATCATTCGGGATCCATTGCGCCATCTACTACTATCAAATCAAAATGAATGAATGAATGAAAAAATTGGGAAAAATTCTGACCAAAATTTGTCCGTATTTTTCGTATTTACGTTTCCTTTTTTTTATTTTATTAAACGTCAGCTATTTTGTTGTTGTTGAATGATTCGATTTGCGCAATGGTTACGACAATGACAACCAAAACACAATAATTGACATCATCATTTGATATTTATTTATTTAGATTTTGGATATGAATTTTTTTTTTTTTTTGGTTCCCCTATTTAAATTGAAACAAAAATTCGCAAATTGTTCATTGTTGCCCAAAACTTTTTTAACCCCTTTAGATTTTATGTAATGATCGATTTTTGGATCCAAAAGCAATAATTTGGAATTATTCGAAATGAATAATAGTGATAATAGCCATAACCATAATGAAAATGAAAATCATTCTCATAAACAAATTATATCAAATGACGAACCTTTATCATCATCATCGACATCATCTTCATCATTATCAATATATTCATCACCGGTAAATTCACCGAATCGACCACAATCTCAGCAACAACAACACCCACGAGGTGATCAAATGATTAATTCTGATTATGAAGAATTAATTCGACAAACAAAACAACGAATGTCAATGAAATTTGAATGTTTGGAAAAAGAAACAGGATTAACATTATCCACTCAAGATTGTTCAGTAAAAAAATCGAATATTAACACCATCAAGAATAATAATGAAAATGATGTTATTAATGATAATAATCAATTGATTGAACAATCGAATGAATGTAATCGTTTAAAAGAAGAACTTCGATTAAAAAATGAAATTATTGATAAAATGTATCAGATACGTGTTCAGGTTGATAGTGAGCTAGAAGATCTTACAGCATCGCTGTTTGAAGAAGCTAATAAAATGGTCTATTCGGCTAATGTTCTAAGAGATCGTGCCGAAAAAGAATTACATGAAGCAAATTTAAAGATTGATATGCTTACAGCTGAAGTTCAGGCATTAAAATTATTGGTAATAACATCGACACCATCTAAACCAAATGCTCATCTTCATCCACAATTAAATTGTTCGAATTCATCATCAACTTTACCAACTTCGGGTAGTCATCATCATCATCACCAAAAATCTAACAACAATAATAATAATACTCCATCACCAAAACAAAAACAATCTAAACATCATCAATCGATGCCGAAAAAATCCCCGAGTAATTATGAATTAATAAGTAATTCTAAATCATTTGAACAAACAAAATTATCAACAATCGATGATGATAATAATAATGATGATATTGATGAACAATTTGATGATATCAATGAAATTGATCCAGTTTTTTATGAAGAATTTCAAGAATGGCGTAAATGTCCAACACTTGAACCAATATGTTCAAATTTTATGAAACGTATATATGATGAAGAAATATATCCGGTATTTAATTTTAAAAATAAACATCTTACATCATTAGTTCTTCGTTCAATTGAATCAAATACATTAACAGTTGAAATGATTGGCAATAATAATAATAATGAACAAAAAAAATTACCATTTCCAAAAAAATGTGCATTATTACAAATGTCTCGTATATGTCGATATCGTATGCAAATTGATTCAAATTCTAATCAAAATATTAATAATGGCCATAATCAATGGTATTTTATATCACAATTATGTCGTAATAGAATTATTACAGTCTGTGATTTATTCTGTTATCTACGTTATGTACAACAAGGACTAGTCAAAAGTAATTTAAAAGATATTTATTTACAAATAATGAAACGCCGACGTAATATTGCTTTATCAAAATTAGGTTTTACACCGACTAATACTAATGTTATTAGTGGACAAAATTGATAATGAAACAAAAAAAAGAACAAACAAACAAACAACAAAAACTTATGATTCCTTTTTTGTAAATCCGACGACCAATTTCAACCAAAGAAAACAAACAAACAAAAAACTTTAGCTCAACAGGAAAAAGATCTCAATGATTTATCGATTCCAGTGAAGAAAAAAAGAGACTAATATAATAATAATAATATAGTGATGTCGAATATTTATTTGCTTTAAAGAAAAATTTCTTTTCGTTGTTTTTATTTAGAATGCCATGTGTGTGTTGAATGAAGATTAATTAAATAGATAATTAAAATGAAATTCTATACAAATGATGCGATGATGACAACAATTTTTTCTTTGTTATTCTGTTTTTTTGAAATTAATAATTTCGAAATGTATCGGTTACAATTTTCCAAACATTATTTTCAGCAATCAACATAAATGATTCATTAAAATGTTGTTGTCGACGATTAATTGCCATACGACCATTACATGTAACCAATATACTGGTATGATCTTTTGATATAATCGGTGATACTGGTTGTGAATCGATACCATTTAAATTTGTATCAATACCAGGTAGATTTGTATAAAATTGTACAATATTTGCTTTACCAACAATATGATTACCATTCCAAATTAATGTTGCCGTATCATGATATAGTTGACCAATTAGATGACGATTTTTATCCAATTGTTCATAAAATAATTCGGCAAATTTTTTACCACTTTCACATGCATGATTTATTTTCAATGTTGATGATTGTAATGCCATTGTTTTTTTTCAAAAAAGATGATTATTTTGAACTAAAAAACGAAAAAAAAAGATTCAATTTATCCAAAATCACATTTATGCGGCATGAATGACTCATTAACGTTAGATGGCACCATTAAAAAAAGTTTCTCTGGAAGACTTTAGTGAAAAAAGTTTTTTCGGAAAATTTAATTCCTTAAGTCCTCAATGACATCAATGTGTGTTTGTGTTGTTTGATATCAAGTTCATTGTTTGGCCAACTCGATTCCGAATTTAAGGTTTATGTTGTTTTGAACGGGATAAATATCCGGTAAAAATTGAAAAAAAAATCACGATGGCTGCCAACCGAATTAGTAAATCATCGATTGATTGGGCCAAATTTGCTTCGGCTGTACCGAAAAATGAAATGAAAAATTTCAATGCATTCAAAGCTCGTTCCGATGCTTATTTGGTCAGGTGAGTTTTTTTTTGGTTAAAGAATTGATCAAGTTAAAATTATTCATATTCACATTTGTTTTTTTTAGAGCAATGGCCTATCCTGAAAATCCACCAGAAATCAATTTCAATGAATACAAGGCACGTTTATCGAACAAAGATTTGGTACAAAAACTTGAACAAGCATATAAATCATTGAAGATTCCTTATCCAAAAAATACGGTCGCTGCTGAAATTGATCAACAAGAATTGGAATATAAAAAAACATGTGATGCATATGTATCGATTGCTAATTCAAAAATTGCTGAAGCTGAAAAATTGGTATGAATAATTTCTAATCAAAATTGATATCCCTATAAATTTTTTCTTCTTTCAGCGTAAAAAATTCGAAATGATGCTTCCGGTACGTGACATGAACAATGAAGATTTTACATTGACCTTTCCGGATTGGGTATGTACATTGGAAAGTCCATCCATTTATCCACATTTCGAGAAAACACCCGGCCTTTCTAAAGAAGAACGTGAACGTTTGGCTGCACCGGATGGTAAACCATATTCGACTGTATAAAAAAAAAAAATGGAAGCAAAATCCTATGATTGTTTTAGCTAATTAATCATTTAAAAAGTTTCAGGCAATAATCACTTTGGTGATAAGATTTTTATTTGTCTGATGAATAGAATTAATTTGAATAAAAATAAAAAATTATCATTTTTTTCTTAAAACAAAACAATGTAAGCAATGGTTTTTTTTGGATATTCGAATCGTATGTTCTGTTTCGAATCTATTTCATTGAAAGATTTTCAGATTCAAGTTGTTGTTTTACTTCATGAAAAAATGAACCAGATTTTTTCAATATCTATCAAAATTTAAAAGATTTAGATGGAAAGTTAGCAACTTATTAAGAACAAAACTTACTTCTGTAATTTCTGAACATATTTTACAAAACCAAATAGTTTCATTTTGATGATTGATCGTATCGACACCACATTTATTACATACTAACTGTAATAGAATTATTGTTAAATAAAAAATTTTGTTCGAATGAAATTTGTTTCTTACCTTAGAACATCCTTGACATTCATGTGCATTATGATTGAAAAAACCAAAAGATTCATTACATAATATACAGGTGTAATGGCCATCACCACGTGCATTTCTTTTCATATTTTTCAATCGTTCAATCATTTTGCTTGATTTTTATGGGAAAAAAATTGAAACATAATATGAGTTGATTTGAGATATAACCGGAAAAAAATCCAATTACCCAATTCGTTTTTTTTCAATTTCATCCGATTGTTGTGCACGACTTATAACATCTATAATAGTTTTTCGTTCCTGTTCGGTAATTTTATCATTACGATTCGATGAATGTAATGTTTGAAATTGTTTCGTTTTACATGACCATCCTGATTCTAATCTAAACAACAACAACAACAGGAAATTAAATTAAATCCAACAACCTATTCATGATAATAACTTACTTGGCACGTAACATAAGCTCACGATCATTTGGACATGTCCAATTACTTTCGGTACGATCATTTGAAGAATTTGATGTACCAACAACAATATTGGTATCATTATTATTGACTATTATTCGTGAATCCATATCCATATGGTAGGATTCAATTGATGCAATTTCATAACAACAACAAAAAATACCAATAAATGACGTCAGCGACAAACTATATAGTTGAATTATAGGGAAAAGTAATTCCAGATTGAAATTGTTCAATGAAAAAATTAGGTATTTTCTGAATTAATGAATTTTTGTCGCTAATATCATCTCATATCTTCATTGTTAACGAATGTTTTTTGGTCATTCATTTGATAACCGAAACTAATTTTTGTTTTACGAAACAAAAAAAAAATTCAAAAATATTCGAAATTTGAATTACAAGAAAAATTTCCCAAAAAAATACTATTCGATTTTTGATATATTCGGAAACTATTCTTACATGTGGCTGCTAAACACATCATCGACAATAGTCAAATTAAAAAAAACAATTTCATGTTTTTAGTTTTCATTTGAAAATCAATCAATCAATCATGTTCAAAAAGTAATCAATTTCCATGTTAATTAATTTTTTTTTTTGATAAAATTCTTTATTCTCTTTTCTTAAACAGATTTGAAGATACAAATGTATCGGGTGTCACGCAGCTTAAATCAAGCGTACAAAAAGGTATTAAAAATCGATTGGTCGAACAATTTCCATATATCGAAAATTATATCGATGAAATTATACCGAAAAAAGAAAATCTTCGTATAGTTAAATGGTAAATTGTTTTTCATATTTCTGTTTCTGTTGAAAAATCCCAATTCAATAAATATTGATTTCTACCCACTCATCTTTTGCATCTTAAATTTAGCCAAGATCATATCGAAGTAATTGTCAATTCAGCTGGTGATTATCTATTCTTTCGACAACGTGATGATTGTTATTATCCTACACTTCGTTTAATTCATAAATGTATGTTTTTTGTTTCTGTCTTTGTTTTTAAATCAATCAATGAAAATCTTTTTGTATGAACCATTTTAGATCCATTTATTTGTCCATTGATGCAAGTAGATGAAGGTGCTATTACATTTGTATTATCTGGTGCAAATATTATGTGTCCAGGATTAACATCAAAAGGTGCCATAATGACTGATGGATTACCGGCTGAAACAATTGTTACTGTTATGGCTGAACATAAACAAAATGCATTAGCTGTTGGTAAATTGAAAATGTCCGTCGATGATATGTAAGTATTTTTTTCTTTTTTCTTCAATATTTTGCAAACAATCAAAAAAAAAATCCATTATTTTTATTTTTCTTTCTTTCTTTTCACATTCATTCATTGAAATTCAGTGCCAAAATTAATCGTGGTGTTGCTATTGAAAATATACATTTTCTTAACGATGGCCTATGGCGTCTTAAACCAAACAAATGAAATATTTTTTTTTTCAAATTTAAATTTTACTGTTTAATTTCACATTTTTCAACCAACAAGATTTATGAGAAAATTTTTTCACAATATCAACATTACATAACAAATAGCATATTTATACTGGAGCAAATGATAATAAATACTGGATCCAATATCAACAGAAAACTTTGGATGATTTTTTTCTCTTCAAAAATGTTCATCTTTTTGTATATATTTATATGAATTTGTTTCGCTCTCTGATGTATGTGTTTAATTAATGAATTTATAGAATTCACATTTTTTTTTGTGAATAAAAATGATGGCAGTTGTGAAATGATGATTCTTTTTTTTTGTCGATAGAGGCAGAATATCGATATGAATGAACAGGGTGATGGTGTGTGTATTTTATGGTGATGATGATGATGGTATTATAATTTTTGTTTATAATAATAGAATGTGTAATCGGTTTTGTGTGTGTGATGAATTGCTAAATATCAAAAGAAAAATCTTAAAATTCTAATATCAAATCCATATTACACATAAGAATAGTGTAAGAATATCGTATATATAGAGAAAGAGATAAATTTCATCATTGATTAATAATCATAAATAGATTAGGTTAGTTACATAACATCATAACGACAATATGATCCAATTTTGTTTGACTAACAAAAAAACAAAACAGATTCGAATCGAATCTATCTTTTGATTGGATATTCACGTGATACGACAACAAAATAATCGGTTGTCCAATTTGGAAAATTTGGTAATAATTGTTCAAATTTCCAACCATCCGATAATGTAGAGATAGCCAATGATAATTCACTTTCACGACAATGTAATAAACGATAAACATTTTGATTTTTTGATGAATCAGGACTAGGATTACGATTCATCATACGATCAAGATTACGTTGTTGTAATAATTTTATCAATGATGTTATATTATAAAATTCAGCTTCTTCTAATACACCTTCTTCATTGAGGTCTTTATTCAGGATAAGTTTACCATGACGTAGAAAATTTAATATCGGTGCAAAATATGATGGATCACGATCGATTAAGTAAGCTCCATTTTCATCCTTAGTTATAATTATTTCAATTTTAAAAAATTAATTTTAAATTTCATCTCAGATAGAAAAAAAATACCTTTTCCGATGCTAAACTATTCGTACTATTCGGTTGACAAAGACGATAAAAAAATGAATTACGATCACTACATAATGTAGTACGGGTTGTTTGAAAATAAGTACCACCAACATTTAATTTGATCCATTCATTTGATGAATTTTTCATTTGAATCGGTTCATTATTATTATTGTTATTATTATTATTGAGTTCATTCGTATTCATTGTTCGTTGACAATTATTATTATTATTGTTATAATTATTATGATGGTTCATCATCATCATTGTTGGTGATTGACAATCATGATAGCTATTTGTTTCGATTTGACAATTCTCCACTAATAAACAACCGGATGATGTTGATGGTGATGATGATGATGTACTACAAACATCGGCTATAATTGCTGATGATGATGAAGACGATGAAGATGATGAGGAACCGGATGATGATAATTGATCATCCGATTTACAATTCATATCATTTTTCATTGTTAAATCGGTTGTAGCCGTCATCATTGTCGTTGATGTTGGTGATGATATTGATTGGTCGTCTTCAGATCTACTTTTACCACTTTTACTGAAAATAATTTTCGATGATTTTTGTTTCGAAAAATCATTCAATGTTTGTTGATCAACATTATCATCATTATTTTTTTGACTAGTATCATCAAATTGTTTTTGTTGATTATTATTTTTAGACATTCAAAATTATTTACTTGAAAAACAAACAAAACAAACAAACAATAAATCTAAATGTTAATAACAATCATCATCATCATCATTAAATTAATCTTAAGAATTTAATTCTATCAAAATAGAAGAAAACAGAAATTCTTTAAAGAATTTTCCGATGACGAATGAAAATGAATTATTTGTTTTAAGAAAAATCAGCCAAAAAAAAAGAAAAAAATCGAACAGACTGGCTCGAGCTATCACCACCATACCACCACCAACACCACTTCTACCACTACCACCATAATCAATACAAAAAAAAATGTTTTTTAAACGCATGCGTCATAGCCTACAGAGAGAAATGATTCAAGAATCAAACGAAAAATTCTTGCCTTTATGAATTCTGTGTATGGCAAACACACCCACATAACAATCATATTTCATTATTTATAAAACATTTCAATATAGAACATTATTATTATCATTACCAATGATGGGGTAAATTCAATGATTCTAGGCCAAAAATTCAATGTTTTTTTCCTCGCTTTCTTTGCTGTTGATGATGATCAAAATTGTAAAAGAATCTTTCTTTACGCACTTGCCACACACACACCCCCAAATGGCCCAAATATTCGAATTTGTTTTTGTTTTTATCCGGTTGGACCGTCGTCTTTAGGAAAAAAAAACCAGAAAAACAAAAATCAAATGGGTCATTGACTTTGTAACCAAAATAAAATCACCCCCCAATATTCACTATATATTTTGGTTTGGTTTTTTCCCACCATTTTTTTTCTCTATAATCCATTATTTAGACAACGAAGACGACGACGACGAAGATGATAAAACAACAAACACGACGACTCTTTTCATCAAAAAAAAAGACGATGACAACAACAGCTAAGAACCCTCAAGGAAAATTCAAATATATTTCGGCTAGACTTAAAGACTATAGATTCTTGATCATCAGAGAATTTTCTCATATGAAAGTCTGGGTTGTTTCGAATGGAAAAAGTTTTACATGCCGAAAAAAAATTGTAAAAAGCAAAAGTATTTTACAGTAAATTTTAATTGATAAATAAATAAAAAAAATATGTACAACAGGAACACTTGTAAATAAATTAGAAAAATATGCGGACCAAAATTCAAAACAGGTGTCATAATTAAGCAATAAATTTCACTTTTTTTTCGCTGTAAAAAGTAAAAGTGAAATTTACATAAAACACACCGACTTTCTTTCTTTGTGCGTGGGTGGTTTGATTTGGTTTTTGAAATTTTTCCTAAAATGATGTCATCGTTGTTGTTGTTGTTGTTGGTGATGATGATAATAATGATGGTGCACAAACATAGGTAAATTCTTCACGTTGACATTGTTGACAATGTACCTGACAACAGAATTCAAATCGACAATTACAAGTGGTTGTTATTATACGACGTTCACGTTTAATACGATAACCACATTGTTTACAAAGACGACGACAACTTTTTCTTTCTTCAATGGTAACATCATCATCTTTACGCATTGAACAATGTCGTCCTAATGTACCAGTCAATGAACCAAATGTTGAATTTATATCCGATTTACAATAATCCGGTGAATCATGTAAATACATCAATTTCCATGTTGGTACTTCTTGTTGATTATTTTGTTCATATGGTGAATTATTTTCAATTTTTACTGCTTTACGATATGCTTTTTTTAGATAATTACCAATTTCATGAAATTCATTTACTTTCATCCAACAGGTTTGCATTGAACATGATCCACTTACACCATGACATTTACATTTTTTTATCATTGTTTCTTTTACTGACTTTTGAAAGAAATGAAAGAATTTAAAGGATTTGTTTTTCAAAAGAAGAAAAATAAACATTCAACTTACAATTCTACCAACACGATGATTATGTAGACGAATTTTTGCTTTTGAATCTTGTCCAGTTTCACGATCATCAAGATGTGCAATAGCCACTCGATAACCAAGTTCAACATTATCACTACAACCACCCCAACGAAATTCATTACGTATTGATTGTTTATCATTATCATTACCATTATTGTTTCCAATCACAGAATTCATCAATGATGATGATGATGATGATGATCGTGAACATTTACAATTATCTAATGAACCATCACTACAATTTTTTGTTACTGTATGCACAATACCGGCACTAATAATTGCCTGTACAAATGCTACTTCTCGATTTACTGGTGGAAAAAATCGAAACATTTAATAACCGAAATAACCGAAAAATGATCAATGTTGAATACAAAAAGAAACATACTTGGTAAATGATTTTGATAAACTTCGGATAATATTGATTCTGGACATGGCCATCTTTCATATTTAAATTGTTTTGAACATTCATCCAGTCCTTTTTGTGCACCAATCCAAACTGTTTCAAAACTTGATAATGTTGCCTGACTACTTGTACGTAGTATATTTCCTAATGACCTAAATATGATGAATAATCAAGATGATTATAATAATGTTATATAATTGAATTTTTGAAATTTTCAAGGAAAAAAAATCATTATTTAATCCTTTCATTTGAAAATTTTTTCTCTTTAAAAAATTAAATCAAATTCCATTGGTGCATCCCTGATCATTTCATGACAGTTTCTCAATCGTTTTTTTTCCAAATTGATACAATGATAAAAAAAACTTACCAAGAATAGACATGATGATGATTGACAGGCAATAATAATAATAATAATATCCATATCGATGTTGTTGATTTTGATGATAATATGAATGTCACATGAAATAATCGAAACATTGATAATAATGACCAAACATTATTTTGATAATTTACAAAATGTTTTTTATCGATCGATGACATATCTTATTTTGATTTGGTTGTTGATCAAATTAGTGGAAAAATCTTTATCAAAATTCAAATTGATTGATTGATTGATGTGACGAATCAAATTGGCAAGTACAAATAGAAAAACAGTAAAAATGATCAAATATTCTTCAAATCGAATTGAATCGAATCAAATCGAATGTTCGTATGATTCGAATGATTACCTTTTATCGAATGATCTTTATTCTCCGGCCTGCCTGACTGTCAGAAACGAAGTTTTTGTATTTTCTTAGGATTCTATCCATGGGAAAATATCATTTAGTCAAAATTAACAACAAGAAGAAGAAAAAAAAGACTTTAAAGTTATTAAGAACACACACACAAACACATTTACTTACTTAAAATTGAATAAAGGATTCATAGTCGGGGGTATAATATCATCATCAACGACGACGACGACGACAGTCAACAACTAAGACGACAAACTTTTTATTGATACATGATTTGGTGACAGTAATAATAACAACAACAACAACAAACTACTGTCGTCAATTTGGTTGTCACGTTGGTCAAAAGTATTTATTAAAAAAACAAATTCTTGGTTGAATATTCCATACATCTTGATTTAATTTGTTGTTGGTCAAAGTTTTTTTCTCACTACACCAAAAGATTACCATGATTTTTTTCCCTCAACTAAAATCTGATATTAAGAAAAACAAAAAAATAATTGAAAAATTATCAATTTAACTGGAAAATAATTTGTTACAAACACCCAAAACATTTTAACCCTTTTTTCGATCTTTTCCTTTAGTTTGTTTTTTTGTGAATGAAAAAAAGTGATTATAATCAAGTTATTATATAACACCAATGGAGAGAATGAGAACAAAAGGGTTACTTTGACAAAGAAAAACCTAAAAAAGGTTGAATTGATTGACAATTGACAGTTGTCAATTGACACCAACCGTTTAACCCGACTAAACAGGTAAAAATTGAATTTTGTTTTTTACTCTGTTGAACAATTATGTTTACCTGGATAATCTTTGATTTGAAGAAACATTTTTTTTCGTTAAAATTAATTCAAAAAACTTCCCTCAAAAAAACGAACGAAAAAATTGATAAAATCGGTTCAAACTGGATTTTCAAATTAATTTTCCATTTCCTACCATGGTAACTATTTCAACATTATTGAGTTTTGTTTTCTGTTTTCATCATCATGGTCAATACACGTGATGATCGAACAAAAAAAAACGTTTATCAGGCCAAATGATTTTTTTCTTCTCTGAATATCATCATCGTTGTCGTCGTCGTCATATCGATAAAATTGATCAGAGAAATTTTTCGTTTTCTTCAAAAACGAAATTTGATCTCTTTCTTTTAAAGATTTATCAATTTATAAATTGAGACTATCAAAAATGAACTAATGTATCAGATTCTCCAAAAAAAAAGATTCAAAATTTTTCCATAATAATTATCATGATAAAAAAATGAACAAAACAAAACCGGATTAGAGCATCAACATCGTCATCATCGACGTTATCATCGTTTATCCTTTCAAATCGTTGTCGTCGAGTTGAAATCATTTTTTTCTTTTCTTATCACTTATTACTTTATTGGATTTAATTGACAACTGTAGATAGATTCCGTATTCGGTTTATCAAATGCATCAATTACCAATAATATGGACTCCATTTCCCCAATTTATCTAATCTATCCTATTTCTCTCTATCATCATCATCATCATATTTCCTAAAAAAAATGTACCACCACCTACACAATTCAAAACAAATAAATAAATAAACATTCACTGTATGTTTAACTTTGTCAAATTTATATATTTTTTTTTCTTCTAAATAATATTTTTTATTTTCATAGTCGTCCCTCTTTTTTTCTTTTTTCATCCCCTTTTACCAGTTTGTCAATTTTTTTTTTGTTTTTGGAGGCAAAACCTAAACATGGTCATCATCATATGTTTGTTATAAATAGTCCATTTTTATATTTGATTCAATCATCATTTTTAAACCATTTTAACAGCCACATTAATTGATTGAAATGGAACAACAAAAATCATCAACAATCGATTATCATCGACAAAACATTATGGACATTAAACAATTATCATCATCATCCTCATCATCATCTTCGTCATCATCATCATCATCCCATCAAATGTTGGAAAAATTATCAAAATCAGAAACAATCGAATTACGTAATAAACATGTTGGGTAAGTTATTAACGATTTTAATTATTTGATTTATAAATTTTCATTATTTTTTCCATTATAGTCCATCGGTAACATTATTTTTTAAGAAAAATCCATTAAAAATTATACGTGGTCAAGGACAATATATGTATGATGAAAAAGATAATGCATATCTTGATTGTATTAATAATGTTGCACATGTTGGCCATTGTCATCCGGCTATTATTGATGCAGCAACAGAACAAATGAAATTAATCTATACAAATAGTAGATTTTTACATGATAATCTTGTTGTTTATGCTAAACGTATTACAGATACAATGCCAAAACCATTATCGGTTTGTTATTTTGTTAATTCGGGGTAATTTTTATTTTTATTTTTTTGATTTATTTTTTTTTTCACGGATAAGATTTAATTAATGATTTTTTTCTCTAATTAATCAGATCTGAAGCAAATGATTTAGCAATACGTCTGGCACGTAGCCATACAAAAAACAAAGATATCATTGCAATCGATGGGTATGAATTATTATTTATCATCAATGATAATCGATTAATTTCATCTATATTTTTGCTATTATTAGTGCATATCATGGCCATCTAACAACATTAATCGATATATCACCAATGAAATTTATGAAAATCAAAGGAGCCAAAAAAAAGAAATGGGTTCATGTGGTATTAATATAATAACTATTATAAAAAATTACCCTTTTTGTTGAAAACAATCCAATTACCCATACATAGACATCATTACCTTGTTCATATCGTGGTAAATACAATTTGGATAATTGTGAATCATCCAATGAAATTGGTCAACGTTATGGTGAAGAAGTAAAACAAATCATTCAGGATGCTCATGATCAAGGACGACAAATTGCTGCATTCATACATGAATCAATGATCAGTTGTGGTGGACAAGTTTTATTACCCGAAAATTATCTTAAAAATGTTTACAAGTAAGTCTGATACTGATATTTTTTTGCAATTAGTTAATTAACTTTTTTTTAAATAGACATGTTCGTGATGCTGGAGGTGTTTGTATTGCCGATGAAGTTCAAGTTGGATTTGGACGTACAGGAAAAATGTGGGCATTTGAATATCAAAATGTTATACCGGATATTGTAACTATGGGTAAACCGATGGGTAATGGACATCCAATTGCTTGTGTTATTACAACACCCGAAATTGCCGAAAGTTTTGCACGTATCGGTACAGAATATTTCAACACTGTAAGTGTCATGAAAAACCTATAAGAATTTGATAAAGTGACTTTGTTTTTTTTGTCTACAGTATGGTGGTAATCCTGTTTCATTGGCCGTAGCAAATGCCGTACTTGATGTAATTGAACAGGAAAAATTAATCGATCATGGCATTCAGGTGGGCGAATTGTTTTTAGAAGAGCTACAAAAATTGAAGAAAAAGTATTCATTAATCGGAGATATTCGTGGTAGCGGCCTATTTATCGGTATCGAATTAGTTAATAATCGTCGTACAAAAGAACCGGCCACATTAATTGCTGAATATATTGTTGCACGTTTTAAAGAAAATTGTATATTAATGAGTACGGAAGGAAAATTTGGAAATGTATTGAAAATCAAACCACCAATGATATTCAATGAAACAAATGTTAAACAATTTATATTCATATTTGAAGAAATATTACAAGATATTAATTATATTCATCAAAATCGTACACGTAGTTCATCATTAAGTTCAGCATATAGTTCAGATTCAATATCCATATCCGTTGGTAATAGTAATAATGGTAATGGCCAGATTAATGTTGAAAATATGAGTTCAGATTCATTATCTGATGAAGATTCATCTATCATATCCGAATAATCAATCTATATTTTTTTAAAAATAAATTAAATTTATCATTTTGAAATTAAATTCATTTTTTTTATTTTTTTCAAAATTTTATCTGTGTTTGTGTGTTGTTGTAGTTTTAGAAAATTGACTCAAGTAAATAATTAGAATTGTTTCGCTAATTACGAAGATATGATTTTTAAAGAGAAAAGAAGAAGAAAAAAAGCTAATGAACTTCTAGAAAAAAAAAATAAACGAGCTATGTTGGCGTATAATTGAATTATCTGTTGGTATGTGCGATGGCTTCTTTCTGTTGTTTTTTGTTTGTTTGTTTGTTTGCTTCCCCATCCATTCACCGTTATATTTTGCATCCATATCAATTTAAGCGCTTAAATCGATACCCATACCCATTTTATGGCCACCTTGATTGAAATTTTTACCATCAATCAAAGCATTCAATGTAAATGTAATTCCAGGTCGTAAACGACGAATCAATGCCAAACCGATATTGTTTTTGTTGTTGACACGTGCCTATAGTGTGACAAAATTAATTGTTTTTTAATTTTGAATTGATTTACTTGAAAAAAAAGAAGAGCTAACCTTGATCTGGGTATCTTCATCCATACGATACAGACAGCCAATATTAAAATTGGGTACATTATCAGCAGATGCACATGAAACGCTGATGGCACTTTCCAAATTAGGAGTAACTTTTTGATACAATGAACCGGAAAATTCTTTACCATCAAGGCTATTTTTTTTTTTTTTTTTTTTTTAAAAAAATTTAAAAAAATTAATTTAAAAAAAATTTGTTTTGATTACATACACATTTGTATAAAC